TTTGGCCCATGTGCAATACCAACCTGCCTTGGGTGCCAAGGAACACGTTTACCAAGTTTCATCGATATATCTCATTGCTTACTTAAGTTATCACTTGCACAAACGGATGGACGGAAGGACAGACAGACAGACAGTACCTCCGTTATTTATATTATATAACTCTATGTTATATGATGGTCTTAGGTGTTACAAAAACCGTTAGGAGTACAAATTTATTATGCTCTGTAGCAACATATTGTGAGAGTGTAAAAATTGATAAAGTGTTTAAAGAGCATCGATTTGTTTAGAAAATCAATTTTGGTAAACCATTTAGTTAAAAACATAAATAAATAAAAAATCAAGTAAATACATTTTCTTTGAAGATGTTCATTGTGTTAAAACTCCAAAACAGTACATTTTGGTATTTTGTTGTCGAACGGCAGCTATTGTAGATGCGTAATAGGCGTGTAAATCTATCATGAGTTGTTGTGTTGAAAAGTAAAATAAATTTTAATAAATTTGAACCTTAATTTTATTTACATATTATTAAATGCAAATAGTTTAAATCAAGGTATTTTGTGCTGTGTTCTGTTGGGGGCTGGCATATAAATTAAGAAGATGCTTATTTTTTAATTACAATGAATTATAGCAACTTTAATTATATCGTTAAAATGCACTTAAGCAAGTTTAAGAGCTTTCATAACTAGTGCGCCATAAGTGAGCATGTGAAGATGCAATAAAAATGCAACAGCACCTGCGTTAAATCATGTGGCACACATACATACATGTAAACGTTAAATTATATTATGACATACGCTTGATTACCCCAAATGCTTATAACATACACCCACGTTACATAAGTACTTGCTCATACACGATCTCAATAGTGGGTCAGGCAAAGAGGGCTCTGTGGTAAATAGAAAATTGCGTGACGTTCTGCAAAGTTTGAGAGAAACCACCCAAAATTGTGTTGCGTGCAGACACCTAACCATCAACGAAATGAACCGAACAACTGCTGCACTCGCTGACTGTCTGGCTGACAGGTTAGATATGGACAGGTGAGCAAGTGAACACCCAAAAACCTCCGAAAATTCAACAAAGTGAAATTAAGCGGTTGGTTGGGTTGTGCGCCGAATGTAACTGTTGCTGGCACAAATTAATGTTTGTAGTTATTGTTGCCCCTATCCTTTTTGCTATTGTTGCTGGTTGCAAGTGTTGATTGCTTAGCTTTAACATATACATATGCCGTCACTGTTATGCTTTCTAACTTTGATTGTGCGCATTTTTTGCATTTAGGTAAAGTTCGCATTGTTTTTCGTTATTTTGGCTATAATTCTTCATGCAGTGCGGTGTGTCTGCATTCTCTACTTACGTATGTCTATATATGCAGTCTATATGTAATACATTGCTGGATACTGCCGAGGTAAAAGTTCAGCTGTGCGGAGGTGTTGGCACAGCTGCTTGCGGTTCGCCGCTTTTCTCACTTTCTATAAGTGTAATTAAAAATATTCGTTTTTCAATTTCATTTTCGTGTGAGAAATTAAAAAATTAGACGCAGAGACACAAATCAAGTAACTGTCAGAATGTAACATTACAGAAAATATTCAGCAAAAAAATTTAGTTGTTATCTAACTATTATGCTGAAAACCCCAGACGAGATTTGTAATAAAATTCAGTAAGAAGTCTCTAGTCTCTATTTGAGACATATTGAAGTAAAATCTCAATTTGTGGCAAGTTAGCATGGATATTTATCGATTGTCGGTTTTTATATTTTGAAAGCAACTCAAACATGTAAAAGTTAAAAAAAAAATCAATGTCAAATAAATTTCGTAACTATTATGATTCATGTCAACATATTATTTATATTTTTTATTGGTAATTATACTTTTTGACTGCCTTAAAAAATTTAAAGTTTTATTGACATTTTATATTCATAAGGTTTTATTTACATCTCTAAATAACGAAATGTAATTAGATCTGAGAGATTTTTTTGACTGCACTGCAAACTCGTCCCAAGCCACAAAAATTGCCTCTTATTTAAAATTTAAAATTTAGAGACTTGTGACTGTATCAAAGTACTTAATTCCGATATTAATCATTTGATGGGTTTAATCTTATTAAATTTAAAAATTTAAATAAAAATTATGAAATTTCAATAAGTTGAGAGAAATCACATCTATTTATGTACATACATATAGTTGCGAGCAATGAAATAGGCCACTAATCCATTCGAAATATTTTTTTAATGTTAACAACTATAAAAAGGTTTGAGTCCGGTTGCACTATGTTTAAAAATAAAAAGTATTTAGTTCAGACATGTAGAATACGTTATATTATATAAACTTTATTTTACATAGAAATTAATGAAGCAATAAAATGGTGCATAGAAAATGTAATCTTAAAAGAACATTGGAAGCTATTCTTCAAGTTCTGTTTATACCTATACTTAGTGTTGGTAGCATAATCTTTATTTTTAGTAACAGCTACTTTCTTCATAGAATCCATAAGAGTATCGCACCTGTTCGGATATATAGTTTGCCATGCACCTTTAACTACAGGCCACAGCTCATGGTTGTTTTTGGGCTCAGCTTTCCAAACAAATTTCTTTATATCAGTCCTTTTCCTTCCATAAAGAATGTATGTGTATATTACACCTCAATTCAGATTTCAAACGGCGTGCTACGGGTTTCAATAAGGGAACCTAAGGAGGACTTCGAGCATATAAATTATGTTTTCGTAAACTTTTTCTCACAGGATGAACATCGCATTCTAAATTTAATTCGTCGCGGATATCTACAGTAGATCTTGTTGGTCGAATTTTTGCATACTTGGCAATATTCGGTTCGGTTGTTATACCCTGAACACGAAGTTTCTGATACTCAGGAAGAAGCGTCGGAAACCCTATAAATATGGTTATATATAAATGATCAGCATGACGGGTTGAGTCGAACTAATCTCTCAGTTATTGTGATATCGATCTAAAATTTTGGACACGTCGTTTTCCGCAAAAGAAACTGCCAGACAAACTGAACGAATCAAGTCCTTGTTCGGAAAGCTTTTAATTTCACTAGTTATCTTGACGAAATTTGGTATGGATTATTGTAAAAAGCAATGGTAGATTCTCCGAAGAAACCAGATCGGACAACTATATCATATAGCTGTCATACAAACTTAACGAGTAAATAAATTTCTTGTACGGAATCTTTTGTATTTGTGAAGGGTATTATAGCTTCGGTGCAACCGAAGTTTACCAAATTTAATGCCCATTATATTTCACTGCTCTTCAAATAACTGACATGTCGAAGACACTATTTTCAATCGGACTACGCCTACTTCTCATATAGCACCATTTTAAATTCCATATGATTCATTCACTTTACAGTACACACATCAAGCACTAATATATTCGGATAAAATATTGCACAAATAGTGCTTTTGAGGTATGCCATCTCGCTCCCTAAAATTGTCAAAATCGGACTAAAACAGCTCAAGCCCGCACATACCAAATATATGGATCTCAGAGCGTATGGCTGACTTTTCTGTGACATATATTATTGAAATTTGGGTAAAATGTTTCTTTGAAAATAATATACCTTTGCGTCAAAAATGGGTTGAATTGGGTCAATACTTCTCTTAGCCCCCACATACCTAATATACCAGTTGACTTTATACCACATATCGGCCAATGTGAGAGTTATTTTAATGACATTGGAAAGCGTATTTCTTTAATAATAGTGTACCTTTGGGCTTAAAGTCGTGTGAAAACTTGCCTTAACCCCAATAAAATTGATATTCAGGATTTTGAATTGCTTGAAAATAATATGTTCTCAAGTATACCTGGGCAATGTCAAAAATTAGTGCAATCAGCCATTTCTCTGCCTCCAATATATCATATATAATGATTTCCCACTTTCCATTTAGCTTCAAACGGTTTAGGATGGTCATAATGTGTGATATTTTAATGAAATTAAGTAGACACGTTTTCCTAAAAGTTATACAATTCTATTAATTACTTGGCACTCAATATAAATGAAATTGGTCTAGGTTTAAACCTCATATCCCTAATAGAATGAGTCCGCTTGTTTGGTTGACGCTTTTCGCAATAACTGAATATATTAAATTTAGTTTCTTCGGTTGAGTTTACATTTTATATACAATACTTATCTCATTTGAGAATGCCTTTTGTATAATTGTCGCTGACAGAAAGTAAATATAGTAATAAAACTGAGTATATGACCTTATTTTGAATATGATACCAAATTTGATTTTAATCCATTCACGACTTCGTCGAACAATGAAGTTGAACTCTTTCGCTGCATTTTTTAATATGGCCAACACCTGAAGGTTTTGATCCTTGGAAGTTGCAAGAGCATTAAATGGTGAGTTACACCCGAACTTAGTCTTTTCTTACTTGTTTCTTTTAATTTTCTAAATTAAATTAAGATTTAAACTTTGTCACCTTTCCTAAATTATACTACATCTACTTCAAATATTTGAAAAAATGAGAATTCATATTTTGTTTTATTAAATTGTTCAAAATATATATTGTCAATTCCACTGGTTAGACTATAGAAAGCTTATAATTGATTTCATCTCACATTTTATAAAATAAAATTTCAAGAGTCTTGGTTTTGGTTATTATATTCGTTAATATCTACACATTAAAAATTATAGGATGTTTGAAAAATATCTTCCAGTAGAAATTCTAATAAAACCTTATTTTAATACTTAACAATGCAGTATCAAAATTTTTATATAATCATACTGCTGATTAAATTGTCTTATATAGTGAAAAATAAGTATTAGAACTTCACACTGCGATGTGATTATACTGTTGATTTTCACACAGCCATCTACTATCCGATAACACATTTACATATACGAATTTAGAATATTTATGGTTTGCACAAGCATAGTAACCCATTCTAAGACATTCCGCTTATTCACAACATTTATTCATTTACATACTTAAATTCTTTGTACTCATGCTCTTCTCTTTCATCCAAATTGTGTATTTGTAGCGAGGAGAATGTTTGGAAACTTTGTGAACAAGTGAAGAAAACACGTATCGATGAACTTTCCAAGTGCTACGCGGTGTTCGTGTCAAATGAGGGGCGCACGGTGCCCCTGTGGCGCCAAAAAGCAGGACGTGGCGATGATCAGGTCGTGATATGGGTAAGTAACATATCATAAAACAAGATGTGTAAAGTTCCAAAGACGAAAACGTAAAAAAGGAATAAAAATAAAAAAAAAACAACAAAGGCTGCAATGTTCAAATAAAGCGCAACACATTCTGTCGCGCGCAAGTGGCACTTGCAAACGCTTATCGCTTTTCTTGTTGCTCGCATGCTGTTGCTTCGCTACTTCGTACAACTGCCATATTGAAACTGTTGCAAAGCTAGTGTCAAATTTTATACTTACTCGCCGCCACACTTTCATATCTAAAACTCTTTCCTCGCAATAATTCTTCGCTAAAATTTCAGTCCATTCGATTAGGCTTTGCCTGAACAGAGTACAGTACATACGGCGCGTATGAGTAACTTTCTTACATGTGTACCATAAATGATCACATTACGGTTGATTTTCAATTAATCATTTTAATTATACCTTGACTAAGGTTTATTACGTTTGTTACGATGTTTGTATTACCCAGGGACATGTCGGATACCCTATAAAGTCGATTCAGTCATGTCTGTCTGTATACACGCAATCACTTGTGTTCCTCACTTTATGAGATATCGATCAGAAATCTGCATACGTCCTTTTTCCCCAAAAAGCTGTTCATCTGTCGGAACCGCCGATATTGGACTACTACAGGATATAGCTGCCATATAGTATAGCAAGTTCTTGCATGGAAAACATTTTTAATTTAACGAGGCATCTTCACGAAATTTAGCACAGATTATTGTCCAAGACAATGGTACAATCTCCGAATAGTATAGCATAAACTTAGCTGCCATTCAAATTCACCGAAAAAAAGCCGAAGTTAATGTTTTTTAATTGTTTCTGTAAGAATTTAATTTATGATATTTTTAAAAATAAAACAGTGTAAATTTTAATAAAATTATGCAAAGACATTAAACGGTATTTGGCATTTCGAAAAATTTTATATGTTATAAAAATGAAATAATACTTTGAACTTTACATCCAAGATCTCAAAGTTTTTAAAATACAATTTTTTATACAAATTTTTATATAATTTGAAAGTCAGTGTTAACTATATTCTTCGTCGTCAATCGAATGTTAAAGTGGCTTTGCTAAAGTTTTTTATTGATAAAAAGTATTTATATAATTTGTTTGATTTGCTGCTTTTTTTGAACCCCACTAATATATATTTGACTATATTATTACTCGAATTTATACTTTTGCACATGAACACACTTATGTAATGTCTTGCTCATTCTTGTGTATGTTAAATGCATGTACGTGCCTTGTTAGTGACGCCATCTTCGGCGTCCTTTCGACACAGCCGAATGCGCGAACACTTGCACTTTACAAACAAATAATGCCTTTGAATTAAAAATTTATTGATGATAGAAAATATTTTTTAGCGAGGATTTCAAACTCCTTCTCACACAAACACTTCTGACATATTTTTTCTCTTTACCATTGTTAGTGAACTTGTCGAATTTCTACAACTCTATATTTTCAATTTGTAGATGTAATATACAGATGCATAAATATATGCGAAGACTTGAATAATTGGAAGCTGAAATTCTCCAAGTAAGAATATCATAAAAGAGATTGGTTGTATGATGCATACCTGAGTTCATATGTACATAAATATATATTTATGAAGAGAATATTCACTTTTAAGCTTATTTGAAGGTTAAGTCCCTGGGCTTTACTATGAGTCTTGATATAATTTATGGGCTTCAAAATTTCGTTGATAGTGAAAGTCGATGAAATTTCTTGTGAGATTGCCAAATTGCCATCCGCCTGGCTACCTAATCAGCACAGAAAATTCCCAAAGGGTTGAAAGACGGATCAGGGTGAGATGGAACACCTTAAGGACATGCAGGATCGCTAAGATCATGTGCAAGGACCGTTAGTGAAGGCGAAGAAAAAGGCGCATGCTCACACAGTCTCGAAACGACTGCAGGGCAGTTGTTGTTAATGATATATGGCGCCACAACCGACCAGTATAACTAACAACCTAATACAATAAATTGCCCTCTCTGTGTTCTTTATTACCATTGGTAAATATCTTTAAGATTGTGCTAAATTCAGATGATGTTACAATAAAGTCCGTATCTTCTTGACAACAAAACTATTTGTATCACTTGGCCTTCTAGAATTTTCAAACAATTAAGTATTTTTGGGTTAGAGCACACTTTACGATTCTACAACCATGATTCTATCAGAATACTTCCACTTCCCTCTAGTGGTGAAGCATTGGGTCAATCAACGCACGTGAAGCACGTTTTGTTCACCAAGTGGTTGTTTGCATCACCTAAAACTAATCAAGATAGATATAGATTTCTATATACATATATTTCTTCTAATACTTGGTGATAATTAGTGAATAAGTATATTTTCTCAGCCATCATGTTGAACTTATAACAAAATGTACCAGACAACAATGTAAAAAAGTTTCTTAGAGTGCTGGAATTTTTATAGAGCAAAAATATCTTTCTAGAAAAAATCGCATGAAATAAATATTAGTAGTGTAGTATCATAAGTAGTAGAAAAGAAATATAATTTTGGATATATGTATAAGAAACTCTATATAAATTTATGTTTAATATTGGAAATATTATATACAAATTAATATAATAATATAATTTTTAAAGTTGTTAATATTTATTATTTTTAAGGTTAATATATATTATATAATAATATCAATATAATAAATAAAAAATGTTATTCATTGTCCAAACACGATTTCTTTTCATACTCCTCAATACAGTTGTAATGCATTCTATATAAAATCAATTATAAGCTTATATAAAAAACACAAGAACGATTTCGCATAAATTGAGTAAATTTAGTTTACAAATTGCTCTAATTAATTTCACTGTGGATATAAATAACTGAGGCAATAATTCCTACTACTACAAATTATTAAAATATATAAAGAAATCTTACGAGTATATCATTTAACTTTGCGAGAGTATAAAATGTTCGGTTACATCCGAACTTAGCCCTTCCTTACTTGCTTTATAATATTTATATTAATAATAGTATCTGAGAGTGAACAAACACATTATTTTTGTCTTTTTTATACATTGAACAGGGTATATTAAGTTTGTCACGAAGTTTGTAACACCCAGAAAGAAACGTCGAGACCCTATAAAATATATATATAAATGATCAGCATGATAAGCTGAGTTGATTTAGCCAAGTTTGTCTGTACGTCTGTCTGTATATATACGATCTAGTCCCTCAGTTTTTAAGCCATCGATCTGAAATTTTGCACCTGTCTTTTCCTCACTAAGAAGCTGCTCATTTGTTGGAACGTCCGACATCGCACCACTACAAGTATAGCATATAACATATAAGTATAACAAATAGCTGCCATACAAGCTGGACGATCGGAATCAAGTGCGTGTATGGAAAACTCCAAGGCAACAATACAATCTTCGAAGAAATTGTATAGATCGGATGACCTTTTCATTTGTGAAGGGTAGTACAGCTTCGGTGCAACCGAAGTTAACGTTTCAAATTTGTTGTCTCATATCACTGAAGTGAGCGTCTGGCCCTGGAGATTTGGTCGCTTGAAGACATCTGAAATAAAAAACACAAAAATATTATTTTTCTGTTCGCTTGTCATTCTGGCTGTAACTAAGATTTAATAATTTCCTTGAAAAATAAAAAAATGAAAATGGTTGACTTCGAAAAAGATCTCGAGATCTATTGATGAGTAATTTCGCGGCTATGTACAAAGCGCTACAGAGCTCGTATCTGGCAACATTATACATAATTTGAAAGGTCTTGACATAACCTACAAAACAACGCTATGCATGATTAGTTTGGATATTGCGTTCAACAGTTATAGACGTGTAAACATGGAGTTCACTAACGCCGAAATTCGCGCTATTTTAAAGTTTTCCTTCGTTAAAGGCAAATCCGCTAGAGAAACGTTCCGTGAGATTAATGGTGTTTTGGGGGATGGTACTCTATCACTTCGAACCGCGGAGGAATGGTTTCGACGATTCAGAGCCGGTGAAAACGACACCATGGATAAGCCAGCCGGCGGAAAACCTGTGACGACAAATACCGATCGAATCATGGAATACATCGAGTTAGATGGCATCTCGTGACATCGCCCAGGAGATGGGAGTTAGTCACCAAACCATTTTGAACCATCTGCAGAAGGCTGGATACAAAAAAAAAGTTTAATGTTTGGGTGCCGCATAATTTGACGCAAAAAAACCTTCTGGACCGAATCAACGCCTACGATATGCTGCTGAAACGGAACGAACTCGTCCCATTCTTGAAGCGGATGGTGACTGGCGACGAAAAATGGATCACATACGACAATATCAAGCGAAAACGGTCGTGGTCGAAGGCCGGTTAATCGTCCCAAACAGTGGCCAAGCCGGGATTGACGGCCAGGAAGGTTTTGCTGTGTGTTTGGTGGGATTGGAAGGGAATCATCCACTATGAGCTGCTCCCATATGGTCAGACGCTTAATTCTACCATCTACTGCGAACAACTGGACCGCTTGAAGCAGGCGATCGACCATAAGCGTCCAGAATTGGCCAACAGGAAGGATGTAGTGTTCCACCAGGACAACGCCAGACCACACACTTCGTTGATGACTCGTCAGAAGCTACGGGAGCTCGGATGGGAGGTTTTATCGCATCCACCATATAGCCCGGACGTAGCGCCAAGTGATTACCACCTGTTCCTGTCCATGGCGAATGCCCTTGGTGGTGTGAAGTTGAACTCAAAGAGGCTTGTGAAAAGTGGCTATCCGAATTTTTCGCAAATAAGGTATTATGAAGTTGCCGTCTAGATGGAAACAGATCATCGAACAAACCGGCGCATATTTTAACTAAATCCGATCACTGTAACACTTTTTATAAAGCATTGAATGAAGAGCAAAAAAGCGGAAGGGAGATATTTGACAACCTTATACTTCGTCAATATTTCGATTTTCGTTTTAAAATTTTTACAGTGTATTCTTAATATGTAGTACTTTCGAAAAAAATCGAATTTTCCAAACCAAGCTACCAGACTACTACCTTAACACAAATATTGGCCGAGGTCGTGGTGTGATACAACCCTCAAATAAAAGGCAATTTAGTTGAATCACTTTTATATTAACATTCATTGGGTTTGACTTTAAATTCCCTTTGAAATATCAACTAGTCACCATACAGCGATTTGTAAATTCTTAAAATTAGGACAGCTAATGCGGCCGTTTGACATTTTTACTTTTCTCTCCAAAAGTCACATCGTATTTGCTTGATTACCTTAATTTACAACAGTGAAACCGAAAAACAAGGTTCGAAATCATTAGTCAGTTGGCCGCGCTAGTCGATAAAGGGTTGTTTAGAAAATGGACCGCAGCTACACTGGTGACTACAACCCTGTGCTGCAGCAGTTCAGACAGAGGCTGTGGCCAGGCCATCACAACCGATCGGCTTCATCAACTATGTATGAATTTACTCAGCGAACGAGTGGACTGGTGAGATGAATGAAGAGTGTATGTATGGTCTCTTCACCAATTTTATTAGCGAAAAGCAGTTACGACTAACTGTATTGTTACTGTAGTTGCAATTCCGGGAAAATTTGTTCGCGATTTGGTATGTTGGCTCGCAGCTCGTGAAAAGTCAAATAAGAAATGTGTAGCGTTGCCTAGCGCCCTTCTTCGGCCGTTGTGACTTGTTGGCTGATTGCTTATTCTGCGTGTTCTATGCTTATCCTTGGCCGCTCACAATTCTATGGCCGCTTTGGTTGTTCTTAAATTTTTTTTTATGTGCAAGTAGTTATGCATGATCCGAGTAGGCTGTAAGCGCCATGATGCAAATCTCACGAATGTACTTAACCTTTCCCGTGCATGCATTAATAAAGTCGTATTGGCTAACTACGTAATCTGAGTAGCCGCCCTCGAGTTTCTTCTTTGCCTACTTTTCGGAGCACAAAGTAAAAAAAAACAAAAATAGAGTAAAATAGCAATTGCACATGAAGAGCCCAGCCTAAATAGAAAAGGCAATTTCAGTTGGGCCTGCAAAGCCCGTAGTTAGCCTGGCTAGCAGCAATTGGAGACTATTCGTGAATTTTACGAATTTGTCTACTAATAAAATAAAGAAATTATGTGCTTGATGGCTGACATGCCGAGGCCAGTAAGAGCTTGAAGGCGCGCCAATTTTACGGTCGGCGAGGGAAGTTTGGCTCAATAAGCAACATACACACCACACCCTTAGCCGTTACTTGTTGTTATTTTAGCGTGTAAATGTGGTGTATAGCATGTTGCATGTCGCATGTGCAAAGAATGCCCGTCGGCGTTAATGTTCACAACTACAATTACAGACCGGCAAAAAATTCATCCAACATTTACCTTTGAAAATCTACATTCGTGCTTATATATTTTTAGAAGTGTATGTTTATAAATGTGTTCGACCTTTTGTGTGAGCGTGTATATTTTCTATTACTGTACTCGCTTTCATGCCAGTCTTAAGTCCCCTTGGGCGCTGTGTTTTCGTCCGCCTATTACCGCTACCAGCCGTAGCCTTGTCAGGCCCCGCACCAGAAACATGTAATGCAGTTTATTATTATTCTTTTTTCGTTAGATTCTCTTTTTTCCTGCATTACAACTTTTTTACAAGTATATGAGTGGCTTGTTTTAGTATACGCCTGTGCAGACACCTATACTTTTACCATTTCGTTCAACATAATAAAGATATACATTTATTTTTAGCATTTTTTTTTTGCACTAACTTTTTGAAATTTTATTTCTTCCAGGACTACCACGTTTTCTTCATGCACAATCCATCGCCGAATCGCTGTTTGGTGTTTGACTTGGATACGACGCTACCTTTTCCTACATATTTCCATAAGTACGTAACAGAAACGTTTCGCTCGGATCTTGCGCTGAGACCAGAACATCACAGGTGAGGAGCTATGTGGTTATTTTAAACCAGAGAATAGAGGGCATTATTATAATATTTTTACTTAGTCTTGATTTCATGAAATAAGTTTGCAAATTTCGTTTATATCGGCTTACCGCGGAGATAGAATTGAAAAATTATGCATTCCACACAATTATGCATTCTAATTGAAATATTTAGCATCTAAGCCGATAATATTTGCATCATTATCATTACTTTTGCAGGTACTTCAGAGTTATACCCGCAGAAACATATCTAAGTGAATTCTCTTCTGACCGGCGCCACATGCGAAGGCCAGATGGCAGTTGGATAAAGCCACCGCCGTCATACCCGCCCATACAGTCAAGCAGTAAGCCATTTCAAGCATTTATTTAGCATTTATTATTCGATTATGATATTATAAAATTTCATTTCATTTATTTTTATCATCTCATCCCACCTGCAGGCAATGCGCATAGTTTGGGCGACTTTATCTGCATGAATGCGGGCAAAGGGCCCGGCACCGTGTACAGCCTCTCGGAATTCGTGCAAAATTTCTACAAGGCGCCGAATGTGGTGGCGCAGCAGAATAACAAATAATATCAACAGTTCTGAGCAGCTATCATTGAAGTACCAGTCAAGTTAACGAGCCGACAGTAGCGCCAAAATGCCGCATGTGCACTTGCAGTAGAGAAAGAGAAAACGAAATAGTTGCAACTGGACAAGATGTTTACGCTTAGATGAATTATTTAATAGCAATAGGGAGTATATTTAATGTCTGAGTGTTCGGTGCCATCAATATCAACGTAAAGGTCAAATAAATAACAATACAGCAGCAGGATATGCCAATAAATAGGAGAGCAGAATTGAGGACAACATGAATAAGTTATAGCTAGTTTCAGAAGCCTGCAAAACCGGCCATCAAGCTAACCATATTATCTTCAGCAGAAATTGCCTTCAATGCCGCACTCAAATGCAAAAAACGCATGCTTGCACTCGGCGCATGAATGCCGTGTAGGCCATCAATGAGCAGCTGAAAATGTCACTTAATTTGCATATAACACAAAGTCACCTTAGCTTTACCCAGGCATAGCTGTTAAGCTTTAACGACTGCAGGATTCACCAACAAGCGTCGATGATATTTCTATTATTCGCAGAGCAACATAAGCAGTCCTACCGCCAGTCCCTCGCAAATCGTACTAGAATGCTTTGCCAGCATTCCGTAACAAATACTTTGCAAGTATGCGCTATGCCGAGGAATATTTTCAACTTTTATGCATGCCAATCTATTTGCTGTTGTTGTTGGTTGGTCATATTTATAACCAACCATCCTTGCTGACATTGGCTCTAATGTACGAAGTAGAATTTGATGGATTCATTGGCTTTAATGGCCGCTGTTGATGGCTTCATGCTTGATTGAATAACCGACTGTTGACCGACGGATGGTTTCGGGCACCATATGCATCGGCATCAACAACAATATTAGCTAGACGTCTGCCGGAATATATGATGATGCTATTGGCATGTGTCGACGTTTTTGACACATTGGGAGGAAGGGTATTTGCATTTCATGGCATAATTATGGTCAGAGGCAATAGGTTAGAATGAAAAGAACTTTGTAATCAAAGATAACACAACATAAACTATTAAATATTAAATTAAAGTTTAAATCAGAAAACAGATAAAAAATTACTAATACAAAATTAGTAATAAATAAATGAACTATTACATCTACAATAAATATCTGCTTATATAACTAAAAAAGACGTAATAATATTGTAATTATAATGATAACGTATTTTTGTATTCAGAAGCGTGCTTAGAACCCAACAAAACATAAAACAATATACTTAACTGAGGAACAAAAATATACTAAGGTTTATAATTCAGCGTTAAAAATTCGAAGTAAATATAAAAAAAAAAAAAATTTGATAAATATTAGCAAGTCACTATGCAATATGCATTTGGCTAAATTTTACTCCAGTTTATTATAACCTAATCCAAATTTTTTAAATCACACTAATAAAATGACTGCAATAACTGGGTTATTTCTGAGGTACTGCTAATTCAATGTTACAGCAAACAGCCTGAAAATGTTTCCTAGTTTTGTATGTCGTGTGTCTGCGTTGATAACTTTGGGCAAGGCATAGCACTATTATAGTCTTTTGAAAAAACTTGCATCCGAGTTCATAATTTCTTAATTGTCGGTGAACGCCCATATGACATGTAAATACGTAAGTAGCAAAAGAAAAATATCTGAATTTGTTCATACTTTGATGAAAAAATTTCAATTGCGAAAAGAAAGTTAAGCTTCAATTGTAAAATTCAGACTTTAAATCCTAAATTAATGTTAAAGTTGCTTAAGTCGAATAAGCTTTTCATTTTATGGGAAACTGAAATATTATTAACACCTAATTTCTTTCTATTTATGTCATTTCTAAGATAATAGGTACGGTTTTCATATACGAATTAATTGGTTAGAATACATACCTTAAATCTATTTCCTTTATTCTAAGTTAACTTAAGCCGCTTTAAAACATTAGAAAATGTATAAATTATCGATCAGCGACCGAAAATAATGATTATGGTTGCGATTCTTAAATGAAAAAATCAATTACTTATAATCGAAATACAAACAACAAAAACACAGATAATGTCACGTTAATCCATTTTCGACGATCTTAGCATTTCGGTGATGATTGTTTAATTTCGGATTTTTATAATTTCCTTCACCCATAATGATTAATTTTAATTATTTTAGTAGTAGTAATAGTCATTATTTTTGAGTACAAAAACAAAAATATATAAAAATCATAAATAATCATTATCTGTGAATTTTAACTCATTTTTATACTCTCGCAACATGTTGCTACAGAGTATAATAGTTTTGTTCACCTAACGGTTGTTTGTATCACCTAAAACTAATTGAATTAAATATAGAGTTATATACATATATAAATGATCGGGATGAAGAGACGAGTTGAAATCCGGGTGACTGTCTGTCCGTCCGTCTGTGCAAACTGTAACTTGAGTAAAAATTGAGAAATCTTTATGAAACTTGGTAGACATGTTTCTTGGTACCGTGAGACGGTTGGTATTGCAGATGGGCGTAATCGGATGACTGCCATGTCCACAAAACGCCATTAATCAAAAACAAATAAATTGTCATAACTAAGCTCCACAATAAGATACAAGCTGGTATTTGGCACACAGGATCGCATTAAGGAGGGGCATCTGCGGTTAAAATTTTTTTTAAAAAGTGGGCGCAGTTCCGCACCTAATAGGTTTAATGTGCACATCTCCTAAACTGCTAAAGCTAAAATAACATAATTCATTGGGAACAAATTCTTTGAGCACCTCTGTCTACGGTGTGAAAATGGGTGAAATCGGGTGACAACCCCGCCCACTCCCCATGTAATGGTACTGTTTAAAACTACTAAAAGCACGATAAATCAAGCACTAAACACGCCAGAGTCATTAAATTTTAACACAGGGATCGTATGATCTGACTTTATAGGAGCCGTGTTCGAAATTAGACAATGGGCTTTGCAACGCCCATATTTAGGTGAAAACCCATATCCTAGGATCTGCTTAACCGATTTCAACCAAATTCGGTACATAATATTCTTCTCATATTTCCATGTTATAGTGCGAAAAAGAGCGAAATCGGATTACAACTACTCCTCTCTCCCCTATAACACCATTTTAAATTTCATCTGAATTTTTCACTTTCCAGTATAAAATATATAAAAATCAAGCAACAATGATTTAATCGAGGTAAAACTTTGCGTGAATAATACGTTTAAAGTATGCCACCTTGTGACCAAAAACTGTCTAAATCGAACCAAAACTATTCACGCCCCTAGGTACTGAATATGTGGACCCCAGTGCCTATAGTTGACCTTCTACCGAAAATATCGGTCAATCCGCAAAGAAATCTCAAACGAGTATACCATTTGACTTTGCGAGAGTAAAAAAGGTTCGGTTACATTCGAACTTAGCCCTTCCTTACTTGTTAGATCACAGGTTTCTTATGAAGATTTTTTGCTAACTTTGTTCCATGACCATTTAGAACAAATCTCATGGATCAAATTTATGTTATGGTATCGCCACGCCCCTTTTGCACCCATCTGAAAATTAAAAAATATAATATCAAGCGTAATCTCACACACAGGATATATGCCTTGGTTTCTTTGACTATTGCAAATTTAATCGTTATCGGATCCAAAACATAAAAAAAAATCATTTCTGTCAGTAAATACGGGTGCAGCTGCAGCGAGTTTATCGAAATAATAATTTCTTACCAAGTGTTTGTTAATCGCAAAAGAGAAAAAGAAGATATACTTTTGTTCTAAAAATGCATTCAACGAAGTTAGCAAAACACCCCATAAGAAACATGTGATCAAAAGTGTGTTTTATTTTGAGCGAAAAAAGGGATGAAATAATTATTATTTGTGATTTTTACATTCAAAAATAATGATTACTTACGATTTATTGTGATATTATTCAAAATTAATCATTATTGGTGAAGAAAATCGTAAAGCTCAATATGTAATCATTATTACGTGATTTTTAAAATAAAATTATAATGATTAGCTCTCTGTTATCGATATATATGTATGTATCGAAATGCTTAAAACACTTTGGTATTTTAATATTCCACCCAATATCTAAGGATAATTAACTTGTTGGAATAAAAAAAAACACAATAATTAAAGTAATAACTTAAAAAATTAATTAAATGAAAACAAATTACAATTTGAATTACAATGCGTTGTGATGAGTCTTCTATACAAAAAGCTAAGTTTCGCAAATCAATTGCCCTTGAAAGTTACACTAGTTAATAAGTTTATATTCTACATAAAATTTATTATAATAATTAATACATTAAATTATCTAAATTGTTTGTCATCAGTTATACTCAAATATATATAGTAATGTTTTTGAAACGATTTTTAAATATGTACACTTTTTATACTTAACTAAATTAGAAATATGAATATAATAGTTTGTATATTAGTCGTCCAACCTATCCGCACCAACAAATAATAATCGACTTCACATAATATAACGTTTGTTTCAAAGTGCTAAATAACGAAGTGTATCGAAGCGATCGTTGTGGTATTTTTCAGCAATCAAAATTTTACAAAATTATACCAAATTATAAAATATTTTTCAGAAATTTAGTAATCTCTCTGCAGTCTTTGAGGCTAATGCTAATGAAAACACATTTAATTTAGGTAAGCTTAATATATAATATATTAAGATCTAAGAGTTATTTTTTTTAATAAGTATAACTCAAGTCTAACCAGTTTCTTCCAGAAAGTTGTCTAATAAGAAGTTCTGTTGTACGACTTAAGTTGTGTAAAGGTAAAATTAATTATTTTTCCACTTGGATTTACACGAAGACTGGAAATTAAGTTGTAGTATAGTTTTACATAACGGCCTTCATGTTAGCACGACATCATTAGTCTTCACTTGCTTGTTTCTTTTTCTTCTTTCTTGTTAAATAAAATACACCTTATAGTATAGTGTTTTTCTTTTTGAATTTCTAAGCTGATTATTACTTCCAATGGAAAAAATATACTTAAATTTTCAGCTTAATTATGACTCTCTATTTATTATTCGTTTATAGTTCTCAGCCAAATGTAGATTTTTTACAAATTCAAAGGCTTGAAATAGCATGCAGCAGCTGCAACGGTTGATGTATTTGATTTTAGCCAAAATTATATTTCATTACTAGTAGCCTTTTGAACTGTTTAAAAAGCAATGTTGCCAAAATGCTTAAAAAAATAATTTTTCAAAAAAAAAAAATAAAATAAATAAACAACGGCCCAAAAACACAAGTTAACATTATTTCTACTACTAACTACTTACATATTATATGTATACTACGACTACTATTTATTATTATCGTACTATTTTTATGAATGCAATCTATTGAGATAATGCATTTTATTGCAACTTAATATAAGTGAACTTTTCATTAAAATTTATAAAATACATATACACATGCAATAGAGGCAAATGCAAGAATCTAAGAATAAATGAAATGAAGAGCACCACACTTTTCACAATAAATTATACATATTAAATATGTCTAAACTATAGAAAATAAATGTAAAGGATAAACCAACACTGAAAACATATGCGATAAAGGTAAATAAAATCCATTAAGTATATTATATACAACAAAAACAAACAAACAACAAAAAAGAAACACGCAAATAACTGTGTTTGCTTATCTATGCAAAAGCGGGGCGAAGTTATTATATATATACATACATACATATGTAAAAAGGAATATTTTCACTGTGCAAGTCTTAAAGTTAAACCATAATTTTTAAAACACAACAAAAATATATTATATACATACATGCTAATATTATAAGCGTAAAGTATTTAAACACATCTACTATATACTTATATTATACTATTCGTAAATTAAGCGGTTGGTGAATTTATCAATTATATTTGAACTCAATTGAAAGCAGCTATAATATTATATATATTATATGTACATACTTGTCCATATGTGGAGTAAAATATATATACACATGTGCTAGTAAATGCATACAAAGCTATTACAATGATGATATTTATACAAACATTTAACGGTATAACTAAATCTTTACATCTCGATGGTGTTTCTTATAAACTTTTGACTCTCTACACACACCCTTAGGTCACTTATACGTTAAATTGTAACTCAGATCGACACCCACAACAACAATAACCACAACTATAGCCAAAAATATAGTAAATTCTAAGCCATTCACATAAATTGCTGTCTTAATCCAGGTACTTAAAGTTCTGTATTTTTAAACTCTATCACAACCCTTTAACCATATGCTATAATAAAAATTACAATTTAAAAATAACCGGCTTAAATTTAAAAACATACAATTTATGCATATTTATGCATATTATATATACAAAATGATATTTAATGAACAAATAGTCAAGTGAAAAATATATGTACTTCAGTTAAAAGTGAAAATTCCTTCTAAGGTTGTACATAGCAGAGAAAGGTGATATATGTTGGCGTTTTCTGTGTTTTATTTTTTATTTCTAAATAACAGCTTTTTTATACAAATATGTTTTCATAAATTTCAATAATCGGACGACGAAGAAAAATATAAATTTGTTGTACCAAACTTGATTTAAACATTACCGTAATGGAGAAAAGGTAATTGAATTATAGTTGAATTTTTCTGCTTATCTTTAGAACTCTTGTTACATTCGCACTTTTGCTGCAATAATCCATCAAAAGCTTTCAAAGCGAGGAACATGACTTAAACAAAAAATGAGCGCAAAACTCGCAGGATCTAGAGATTATGACAGTTACGTCTTGTACATTTGACATTCAAATATATTAGTTCGAGACGTCATGAATAAAATTAAGTTTGACAAGTGTGGCGAGCAAAATTTTTTTATCGCTCGCTCTCATTGCAAGAAAAAAGTAGCTGGTTTGTTGGTATGTCTTATAGAATAAGCACTTTAAGGTCACATTGCCTATTAAACTCAACCCACTTTTATTATATGTTCGCTGACTTCCGTAAAAACAGAAACCTTTTACCCGCAAAATATATGTGAAATTTCTTTGTATGGCGACTGCTACACGTTTAATATTATATATTATATATTGACTGCGATCCAGGATCCCGATATTTATTGAATGTTTAGTATGCAATATTGATGATATATTATATTTAAAATATAAAAATGTTAAATAAATATTTAGTAAATTTTTTATCTAATTTCGATATACAACGGAACAAAGCAGTAAAAAAAAAAGGAAAATCGTACAATTGTTATTAAAAATATATTACTTATCTATATTTATATACAAATTTTAGCATTTTCAAAGATCTGGTGAATTCTTCTGGCTAGCAATTTTTGCTCCAATGTTTTTATTGAATTCTTTTCTTCAAAACCATAGGCACTTTTCTCAAGTTTTCTTGAGACATTTTGTCAAAAACGAACGAAAAATTAAACAAAAAATAAAGCTAAACCATTTCATTCCATTTTTTTTCAAAAACATGAGTTATTTCGAAAAAATACTGGCGCGATAAATATTGAATGTATAGCATTTACTCGCGATCCGTCAATTCAAATTGAACGTGTGATAGGCGCCTATATGACCTACAATTCAGGAGTATGAATGATATTACGATTAACTATACTTTAAAAATCATTTTGAGAATTTTCTTTATAATAAAAAAATATTCTAATAAACAAATAATAATGTGTGGTAAAGTATGTTTCAAGTCACCAAAATAATCAGCAAACTAAAATAAGAATATACCTATACTCGTTTACGGTATTTACTCAAATGACAATGGAAATTTGGAATGGAAGCGTTAATTGAGAATTGTTTAAGTATTCTAAGGTCAAAGCATTTAAAAGGTGTCGAATTATGCAGTCGAAAAGCTTTGACGTCATTCTGCATTAACGCTTTGCACCTTGTAACGTAAAACGGAACCTTTTGAACTTTTGCTCCACAAAAATTACGGGTAAACACAATTTAAATATTTGAACAATTAATTAAAATGGATTTTGAACAGATTTACTTAATTTAAATGCTTTTACTTAGTTTTTGGAATATATTAAATATTTTTTAATTTACTTTATACTCGTACGTAAATTTATAAGTCGACATTTTATATTCTAACCTATAAATTACTATACAAAACACAAATAGGGTTGATGTAAACAATAATAACACATAAAATAAATATATTAAAACCAAATAATTACTTAAAGAGAATGAGTATGTATAAATGGTAAAAAATTTAAATGTAGTTAGGCGAATATTTTATAAAAACACAGAAGTTATACAATGTACTAAGAAGAAGAATAATGAAATTATAAATGTAAATAAAATTAGGAATTAAAATAATGCAAATAACGGTGAAGAAAATTAAGCGAATGCCGTGTTAAGTATCTAAGGAGTAAAAGTACACTTGCAGGCAAAGTCTCATGTTTCATGTATACATATACGGTCATAAAACCAAGTTAAAGCATTCACAAATAATGACAGCAATAAATATTCGAATACTACTAAATATGCATAAATATAAATGGTAAAAGCAACAAAAATTACAATTACGCTCTAACTGTAAAAGGCAAGCTGTGATTAGCGGGCAAAACAAACTGATAAATGGATATTAAAATCACATCATCAAAAGTTCCACAAACCCAATTGGACTAAACAACTCGACTTTTTATTGCTGAATGTTATTGTTGTTATTATCAAACATTTGAACTTATGGATTTTTTGAACTCGTGCTCTCTTTGTTATAGCCGTTAAGGTTACGTTCTTACTTCATTCAGTGATTGGCTTTTGTGGAATTCAGAGAAATTAAATTAATCTAAATACTAATATGGTTCAAAAACAATTCACTAAAATTTTCATTCGCGGTGCATTTATTGCTATCTAATTAATAATTATTATTTTTATAGGGACACCGGATGTAGTTGTTGTATTCTATTGTTGCAAATACAAAAGGATTAATTCCGTATAATTCTTTACAAAATTAAAAACTGAAAGCACACACACATTCATTCAAAATTTCGCCACTTTGTTTAATAAATAATCATTCTGTAGAAATAATAAAGTTAGAGTTAAAATACTTCAACATTGACTACACTACTCCAGTATTTGCAGATTTTTCATTTGGTTAAGATACTTGATTTAAAAATGTCTCTGTTACAGTTTACAACTCGAGTTCATCAATGTTGAAATTGGATGTCGGCATTATCAACAACAACGTGGTCGTTCAAATAATTTCAAGTTGTGTTGTTAGAGCCCTTAAATTTTAATGGTTTTATTGCTTGCAACCCTGAGCTAGTGCCGTTGTCGACAATGTTGAATGTTGACAGCTAGCAGTTGTGGCAACGGAAGTTGTTTTCGATGTGTTTGTTTTTATATCAAATTTTTTTCAGTTATTTGAGCCAATTTTTAATCAACAATTTTATACAAATATATCAAAAAACAAATTATTGATTCCTTTAGAACTTCCTAGCACCAAGTGAGAAATTTAATGGCTTTTTACTTGTAACAATATTTTTATTGCAGATGGAAAAGTTAATATAGTTTTATAAGGAAGCACTTTTTGGTATATGAGATGAAGTGACTTTAAATAAATGTGGGAGAGAAACAACTGTAGGTTTCACATTGAAATTATGTGCAATTACCGGGATCCTTGCTGATGCCTGTTATCAAAAATGAAAAGGGAATAACTTCGTTCGACGTGCGCAACCTCAAATACCTATTTATGTAGTTGCCTAGAAATTCTTAAATATTTATAGGGTTTGCAAAGTTTCAAATTTATATTATATGTATGTAGGCCAAAATTGTATTTATGTAAATGAACTGTGAACCTAAAGCTAAAGTTCTGTATGTAAAACATTTGGCAGTATTGTAATTCCTAATATCAAAAATTAGTTTAATTGAATGCGTAGTTTTTTCTTTAATATTAAACATTACCCTGTTGTCAGGTTTTTACAGTCGAGAACCATGGACTGGAATATGGATGGAAATTCAAGAATATCGAGAAGTGGATTTCAGCTTTCGACTACTGTGTATGTTCTTTTTGTGAAAGTTTTCGCCCTGAAATCGACGAGTATTCAATTAACATATTTCAATCTGTTTTGTATTTCCACTTGTAATTCGGCTCCATATTCAATATTGTGAACATTTCTTCCACAATCAAATTCAAAAATTTTGAATAATATTTCTTTGCTTTTCATTTCAATATGAATATAGTGGGAAATCGGGAATACCTCTCAAAAATGGAAAATAATTTATGATTTTAATAAATGCTTATACATCATCACAGCATCACTTTAAATTATTACCTCTCTACGGTTACTGAGACGAGTAAAGTTGAATTCCTCTGAAATTTCAGATCAACTAACTCTTAAGAAATGAAGATTTGATAGATAAAACTGAAAATTTTTAAACGAAAAATCAAAACAATTAAATTTATTGGTCACAAAAAAGTTAATAAATATTAAAATGGACATTGCTTTTGGTTTATATTACAATGACAGAAATGTTGGGGCCAAAATTGATGTGCTGCACGTACGATAAAGCCTTCTTGGTCACTCAATGCTGATGCCTAACAACAAGTTAACCAAAGTTTTATTGGCAATTAAATGGGTTTTAAATAATGTTTGTTGCAGATTCATAACTTGTTTTCATTTAAATGAGGAATCATGTTGGTTTTTACTAAATGAGATGAAGGAACATTACCATTTCCTAGCTGATTTAAGAATGTAGTTAAAAATTTTAACTTTGGGCTGGCCAAGACTACGATATCTACAGTGGTTAAGGAGTTTTTAGACATTATGAACACCGTATTAGTGCGCAGTGTATAATACCTAAATAACCCAGAGGAGCATAACGCTTCAAATATTTATCCTTACTCAAAAAGTATAGTAGATTGTATCGACTCTTCCACACTTCTCTTTCAAACACTTCCCACGATTATTTTATTTTTACTGTTTCCATTTTTAATAAATAACTGATTAACATAGTTTAAAATTATTGAAATAAAATAGTTTTTTACACCCTTTTTCTATTAATATTTCTTTTATAGAAAGGCAGTAATTTTTAACTACAACTGTTTGATAGCAGTTGAAATTTTAAGATACTCTAGTCAACCCAACTGGCAGAGAGTTGAGAATCGAGATACCACAAAAAAGTTGAAGTTTGGCAATACTTCAACCGTTGTTTTTTCAAATTCAAAGAATTTCAAAACTGTAATAGGGGCTAAACATGTAAAATAGCCAAAAATGCGCTATTTTTAATAAAAATTTTAGCAACAATAATGACATAAATACAATTTAAATATAGCATTTATACTTCAAATAAAAAAAGATGTGTTAAATAATGTTGTAGCTGTGCTTAATTTAAAATAAGTATACATGTATGGTATTACTCAAACAACAGCGAACACAATAAAATAAAATATGAAAGTCACACAGTTACTTGGATGTTTACGTTGTGAAATGGTTTCAAGCGCGTTAGTACTATTTTCGAAAGGCATTTATTTTTATGTAAAAGAATCGTATGTAAGCTCTTTACACATATATATATACATGTATGTATGTGAACTATATTAGTTTAAACAATTTTTTCAAAATAATAATAAAATATGGTATATAAAGAATATAAAAACAACAATTAAGGCAATGCAAAGTGGATAAAATAAAACAAAACGCAGCGAGAAGTTAATAAATCCGAAGCAATTAATTTAGAATTAAATAATACTTAAAGGTTGCACCTTCAAGTACCCTTAAGCTGCATACACACGCAGGTTAAGTCAGCAAAGCTGCACAAAAACAACAACACAACTATTTAAAATAATCGCATAATCTACGGTCCGAAACCAAATCACTTGCGAATAGGAGTTGCAACTTGCAAGCAACAAACTTAAAACTCACACATACATACATACAGGTCTAACACAAACACACAGCAAAGGAGTTCGACACCCGAAACTTTCACTAAAAACTCCAATACAATTCAATCGGAAAAGTGAAACGTGGGTGTATGCATATTGTCTGTAATATGCAACAACAACGCACATAAATAAGATAAACACATAATATTATTATCTAACTATTGAATAAGTATTTTTTCCACAATTTGTTACGCTTTCCCTCAAACTGCATAAATCGAAATAAATTTATTAAAAATTATAAAATATATGAAAACAGTCTTTCGTTCTTATTACTGTTAATTATAATCTCCAAAAAAATCAGATGGGTTGGACTTAGGTGACCATATTTTTTCCGGCAAAATCCGGAACGTTTTTGTTTAGTCATCGATTTTTTCCATATTATAATTCACTGAAGATCGCGACATATAATATAATAGGTCAGAGAGCAAAAAGAATGGAAATGATAAAAGAGAAAGCAAAGTAATAATATAAAAAATGATTAAAACACTCAATCACTGTCTGGTTCGATCGTTTGTATATCAGTTGATGAAGTGGACGCTGTTTCCGGAATTGTTGAAGACGACTTCGGTATGACATATTTCTCTTGTTGCCTGATTTCTCAAAGAAGCTAAGGGTGCGATTTTAAGTGAGTAAAAAATTCCAAACAAGAAAATTTTAAATTATTCTTCACAAATAAAATCGATTTCACGGTGTAGACTTGTAGGCGAGTTTTTTCGTAAAAATTAAATATTTACTTCTTAGAATTAATGAGAATATAATTAAATAATTTCTCGATTGTTGAAAAATGTCAGTTAATAACAAGTAAGGAAGTTCTAAGTTCGGGTGTAACCGAACATTTTATACTCTCGCAACTTGCAATGACCAAAGACCGGGAAATTACTTCAAGTGTTGGCAAAATTTTATATTAAAGGAAGTATTGATCCGATTCAACCCATTTTTGACACAAAACATACTATTATCGAGAGTTTCATTTAGTTATTTTAATATTGTATATGAATTTAAATTATATATCTTACACATTACACATACATACATATATTCGGCAAAAAGTCAACTATAGGCACTGGGGTCCACATATTCAGTACCTAGGGGCTTGAACAGCTTTGTTTCGGCTTAAAGAATTTTTGGCCACAAGGTGGAACACTTTAAACGCATTATTCACGCAAAGTTTTTCCCCGATACAATCATTGTTGCTTGATTTGCATAGTGGAAAGTGAAAGAATCAGATGGAATTTAAAATGGTGTTATATGGGAAATAGGCGTGGTTATAATCCGATTTCACCCATTTTCGCACTATAACATAAAGGGTGTTTTTTTTTTAAGGTATAAAACTTTAAATTGCAATAAAACAATGATAGATTATTCGATTGATATGAATTTTATTTATCCGAAAGATAATCTTGTGGCATTAAATTTTAAATATGATTTCTGGCGGTACGATATATACATACGATATACCCGCTTTACTTTTATGTATATGTATCGTCGAAACCGCAGAAGTTTACTCCACCAAAAATGCTGAGAAGAAGTATTTTTAACACGTCTTCATACATTGTGAAAATTGATAAAATCAGATAATAACCACGCTCACACCCCCTAAAATGGTTATGCTGAAAACTACTAAAAAAGCAATAGCCCACTAAATAAAAAGGGTTAGGGAAGGGCGTGGCACCACACACCTTTAGATGAAATCCTATAACTCAGGAACTACTTGACCAATTTCTACCAAATTTGGTGTGCGTATCCAAATATTTCTAACATACACAGTGAAAATGACAACCACGCCTACTTCACATATAACAATCTTTTTAATTTCGTCTGATACTTTTATTCTACGGTGTACAAATCAAACACTAATAAAGTTATCAGAATAAAACTTTGCGCAAATAGTGACCCCAAGATATTTCATTTTATGCCCAAAAATTTTCGAAATGGACTATAAGTTTTCAAGGACCCACACACCAAATATTGCTAATTTTTTACAGAACATATTGGTCAATCTGTGAGGTCTAGTATTGAAATTTGGGGAGAATATTATTGTGATGACAGCTGCCGTTGTTCCAAAAATGGGTACAATCGGGTCTAATACGAACTTGGTCTTTCCTTACTTCTTCCTCACTCTGGCAACCTGTTGCTATACTACAAGTATGTAGCTTTGTTCACTTAGCGGTTGTTTGTGTCAGCTAAAACTAATCGAGACAGATATGGGTTTATAATGGGTGATTTAAGTAGAGGTACTTTTTCAACAGCCAATAGCCAGACCACGCGTGAGTCGTGTCTAGCTGTCATGTTATTTTTGTTCAGTATTGTTTTGGCATTTCATCATGGAAAGACTTGCGTCTGAACTCCGTATATGTTCAGCTTTATTACGAAAATTCACGTTCTGTAAAGAAGCTGTTTCGCGCGCTTCGCTCAACTTATGGTCAACAAAATAGGCCTACTGAGCGTATTATTCGCAACACAATCACACATCTTGAGACCCAACATTCATTATTGGATAATATTCGACCGAATAATAGACCACGTCCAGCATGCAGTGAAGAAAATATAGTGACCGTAGCTGAGTGTGTACACGAAGTCCGTGGAGAGACAATTCCGCACCGTTCGCGGCAACTCGAACTGACGTATGGAGCGACCTGGATATGTAATATCTAAAGTCTATGCGGACAATTTCGCTTCGATTCAGGCCTTGGAGCAAAATATCACGCATGTCATTCGCCAGTTATCAGTCGAAATGCTTGAATGAGTAATCGAAAATTGGACTGAATGGATGGACCATCTGAGACGTAGCCACGGCCAACATTTCAGGAAGATAAACTTCAAAAATAAATGCCAAAGAATATTATTTCGAATGATAATAAACATTTCCCATTAAATTTGAAATTTCTGTGTTTTGCTTTTCAAAAGTAGGGAAACCCGAAATGAATCACTCTACATATACATATATAAATGATCAGAATGACGAGAGGAGTTGAAGTTCGGATGTCTGCCTGTGCACGCTGGAACTTGAGTAAATAGCATAACATATTAAGATATTGTGATGAAACTTGGTACACGTGTTCCTTGGCAAAATAGGGTATATCACCCAAAGTTGCATAGGACAAATCATTGCGGTACCACTTGCGACAATGTGAAAATAGGTGAAATCGGATGATAACCACGCCCAGAACCAATATATACATAGTTTTGTTAATAACTACTAAAAGCGCGATAAATCAATATGGCACAAGAAAGCTTTTTAGGAGCAGGTATCAAAAATGGGCGATTGGAGTGGCACCACACTTAGGGTAAATCACATAACTTCAGACCTACTCCACCAATTTCAACCAAGTTTGGTACACAAGATTATTTTAACATTCCCATCCCATATCCAGTGCGAAATCAGATGAAAACCACGGCTACATCCCATATAACACTACTTTAAATTCCATTTGATTTTTGGACATTCCAGTATACAAATCAAGCAGTAATTAATATATTGAAATAAAACCTTGCACAAATAGTACCTTTAAGGTATGCCACATCAGGTCTAAAAATTGTCAAAATCGAACCAAACTATTCAAGGCTCGAGATACCGTAAATGTGGACCCCAGAGCCTATGTGCACAACGGTGCGTCTCTGTGCTTAATATAATAGATAAAATCGGGTGAAAACTTGCACTTACCTCCATATAACTAATACTTTCAGAGGATTTTCAAACATCCCGTTCACTTTACTCCTTATATAGTATATTGTTGATGAGAGCATCTATTACTGTTAATAATATGTAGTAATGCCAAAACTAAATAAAATCGAGTTAATTACACCTATTTCCCATATACGTAATAAAAGATTTTCAAACTTTCGGTTGGCCTTATACCGTATATATTTGCTAATATGTAGGGTATATTAGTAAAATAACATTGGATATACCTTAGTTTAATGCCGAAAATATGTGAAATAATATTATACTACATAGAATAATTTCTGTTATTATAACAAACCTTATTATGTCAATGGTTTAGCGATGAACATGAATGGAGTTGGCTTAATCTAATATCTCTAGTGTCATCAATTGCGATCTTCTGGTTGATGTTTTGCATATTAACTCAATATATTAAATTTAGCCGGAAAGTAAAATATAGTTATAAAAACTAATTGTGTTTATGAACTAAAATATAACATAATAAAGTACCAAATTTCGTTGAACAATGAATGGACATTTTTTTTTAACTTCCCGCTAAGAAAATGGAAAATTTTCTAAAAATCGGGAAGATATTCGTTTCACCCCATTTTTCAAAAATCGAGCTCTCAACAGATCTCGACGTTCTGAGGGTCGAGGAAGCTTCCCCGAACATTTCTACGATGATGTCCTTATGTCTGTATGTTTGTGTGGATGTATGTGTGTGTGTGTGGATGTATGTTACCCTCTTATAACTATTAAACTGCTCAACCGATTTGAATAAACTAAACGGCATTCCAAAGGGTTTCATTGCACTTGAATTTCGTGTAAGTTTGGACCCAATCGGACCAGTAGATTTCGAGAAATCTCAAAAATAAAAATCGTTTTTTTCGAATTTTTTCCAAACGACTTGACCGATCGACACCAAAAACTAATCAGTTCTAAACCTTGAAGAAACACATCGTTTGCCGCAAACCGGGTCGAAATCGGTTGATTTACTTGCTAGATATCGAAAACGAAAAATTTCGAAGAGCTCAAAAGCAGTGAAAAAAGCGAAATTTGAACATTAGCGTATGAAATTAGAGGGAAGTTGCAGGGATGGCCCTTGAGGCCAACCGTTTTCCACATTTTTACCTCTTTTTATATGAAGTTTTGCTAGCACCTGAAGGTATGTATATCCCCGTCTTTGATCCTTGCTAGTTGCAAGAGGTTTTTCCTTACTTTTATATTATACAATAATTTGTATGCAGTGCCTACTCATATTTGGTTCAGTGTTTGTCTTCGCTTATTAACAATGGAATGGGGAGCTAAAGAAAATCGTATTGCGGTGATTGCTTTACATACATACATAAGTGTGAAAAAAGCGCAAATGAAATTTATGAGTTTCTCAAAAAAATTAATATTTCAAAATTTATTGTTTACCGCACTGTGATCGTTTTTTCCAAACGTCGCAAGGAATTTAGGCATACAATTCAAACTAACGTATTTTTTTAGAACAACCCTCTCTAGTGATAGTACTAAGAGAGTTTTTTATGCACACATGTGTACATACTTATATACCAAAAGGCAACTGCATTACGAAGGGCGTCGAAATTGGGAACAACAATGATTACTGTAATTCATTACGTAAAGAGAACGTCGCCCATTTAAAGAGTAAATACCCACTTAAGAGCATTTGGCGACGCAGGCGGTTAGATAAATAGAGAAGAGGAAGAGTAGGTATGAGAGTAGGCAATTTGCTAACTACTTAACGTTACTGTACTGTCAGTAGACTCACGGGAGTGACAAGCAGAGTTAGGACTATTGCGTCGACAAGGTGCAGTCTAAAATTATACCTTTGAATTGTACCTTTGTTTGCATTGAGTAAAGTGGTTAATAATTTCAAGGTTGCTGGCCGGGAATAACAGCATTTAGTAAATTAATTATTTGTATATTATTTTTTGGGAATCCGTTAATTATATACAATTATGAACAAACGTTGCTCTTGTTTTGAAATGTGATTAAATGTTGGTCCCTAAATGAAGTACAATTATACGCAACATTTTTTTTTATTTAATCTCAGTAATAACAAAATTATTTATTTATTTGGAAGAATGTTGTTCCAAGCAGTTTGGAAATTTCGAAAAAATTTCATGAAAATGTGAAATTTCGAAAATTTGCTGTAAATTTAAATCATTTGAAACCATATTTTCTTTAGATTTGAATCACTGGCAAATAAACGGTATCGGTTTAGGCGTAACTAGTTATTAAAGCTAAAAATATTATACTTCAAGTCTTAGCTTAAACATCCCGAAAGCATATAACTTTGTCTATATGACCAGAAATATTTTATGATCGAATTTAGCATTCTACTAATTTATACTACACCTATCTCTCTTTTACATGCGCTACCATACACCGACGTTGTTGCTTTTGCAGAGGCTGAGCGCCCGAATACAGCCGTTGCAATATACTCAGTGTTCGGCTGAGCGTTCTCCCGCCGTATACAAAAGTTGACTCATGTTTTGGTCGGCTGTCATTTATGAAGTAGCGCTCGGCCGTCGTGGTTGTTTGTATCTACCAGATACTTGTACATTCGGTGTTTTTTTAGAGAGATTTCTACTTGAATATATTTTTAAAGTTTTCGCAAATTAAGGAGCACATATTTTTCGAATTTTTGCAACCGCATTGCAAACAAAATACTACTTCCTGCAACGTCGAAAAGTCGCTCATAAAGAAAGCGTAAAAAACAAATTGAAAAGTAATTCGAAGTTAATTGTCAAAAGTTTGCATATACATTATTTGGTAATTATTTCGTAATCCACACAAAGTTGTTTCCACCAGCAAAACCAGTGTGTGAGCGTCAGCATAAAAATCTCGTCAAAAGCTACAACAACGATTGAAAAGCAAAACAAAAGTACCGGAGAATCAACTGTGGTCAGCTGAGACTCATAAATCCATACGTTCGTGCAACCAATTCCAACGCATCTAATCGAAACTCAAAAAGTAACGTGTATAAAAGCACAAAGAAAATTTTCATAAAAATATTAAAAATTACGAAATTTGTGTTTTTGTGAGTTTTAAAATCTTTTTTTTTACGATTAAATCGTGCGTATGTTAATTCGGTTACCAATTGGTAAAATCGGTAGTTTGTTCAAACAAAAACAGTTAACATTTTGTCTGATTTACACAAAATTGGTTTAGAAGGCTCAAGTGAAAGTGTCAAGTCAATCGAATTGAATTTTGTAGTCTGACACACAACGTTAACGAAACCGCTGTGAAGCCACAGCAAAATTATCAAATCAAAAACAAATGGTGGCGTGATATTTATAAAGTTTTACCAAAAACGAAACGAATTTTAAGCAAAAAGCCAAAAAGCGCGCAAAGCCTTTGGCAGTGTAAAAAGTTAAACAAACGTACGGAAGATCAAAAAAGACGATTGCAGACGCAAAACGCCCAATTTTTGTCCCAACAACGAGTGCAGCTATATTACAATTCATAATAAAACAACATTAAATACAACAAAATGAGCGCATACAGAGAGATGTCCAAACTGGAGAACAGTCGGTAGGTGTCAATCATAATAGGTGTTTGCATATTTCCGATATGCGGACCTACTAGCCCTGGAATTAGCCAACCCTACTTATAGTAAAGTTATCGGTTACTACTCGTGACAACTGTAGAACCACAAAAAAAGTGTTAAATCATAAGATGCCAGTGAAAACTAAAGGCGTTTAAAGTTAGCGGGATGCATATGCACACACATACAAATGTGTGTGGGGGTGTTGGCCAGTGAGAATTGCGATATTTATTTACCCCCCACTTCAGATTTATTAATTGCTTAAAAGTATTTAAATATTTATTGACGTCTGTATGTATGTATGTGAAACGCTCTCAGTGTGCGTTAAGTCTCTTTAGTAAACCTTGCAGCTATACCTACGTACAAATGTATCTGACAAAAGTATTGAATGAACATGATGTCGGTGCGTGTTGCCGTAGCCATTCCTCAATAAAATACACGCTCTTCACATAATTGATTATATACATACAAACATACGTCCACACATACATAGCAGTTCGATACCACGCCACATTGTGACGTACGTAGCATATGAGTACAGAATGATTTATCGCATAAGGCGGTGAAGTGCCCAATGACGGAGAGCTCATTATACTGAATTTATTTATGTGTATATGAATATATATATGTGATCTGCCTAAACTAATTCTCCAAATAACTATTATTTTCAAAGAATACATGTATCGTCTAAAATGTACTTTTTGCGCTCATATCGGCATTTACATACATACGTGTGCAGTGTACATTACGGGACGGATAAAAACAGATTTTAAGGACAATAAAATTTCTAAAAATCATTATAAATAATATTTTTGCAAAATATAATTTAAAATTTTAGCAAATGACTTTCTTCTACTTTGGTACCCATTGTGCGCATTATTTTCATCCAGAAAACTAAATTCTGAATTTTTATTTTTAAATTAAATCTTAAGATTCCTAAACTTGTTCTATAACACTGAAATTTATATTTTTTCTAAATAAGGATTTTCATGCCCATTCTTTGGAGAAAAATATTTTGGTGTCATTATTTTTTTAAAGTATTTTTTTGGTACAAATATTTTAAGATTTTGCAACTTAAATATGACAAGGATTGATAGTAATTAATTCTTCTAAATATCAAAATGATATTGGAAATCAGTTTTTATTCGAAATTTATATCGCTACTAGTATATTTAAATAAATGTTTTCACAATTCTTGTTTCACTATACAAGAATGATCCAATACATTAAAAGTACATGAAAATGCCTAGTAATTATAGTATGTTTGAGCTGGTATGCATTTGATGTATATGAAAGAGAAAATATGGCGTGAGTGGTAAAGAATTTGCTCAAAGAGATACACTGTGAAATCATATTAGCAGTAAGAAGAAGAAAACGCAATGGTTGAGATAACAGCTGATTTTTCAATTTTGCTGGTGTTTATTGTGTGGTGGGTAATCATTTTTGATTTTCAGAATTTTTATAGTTTTTGAGGAAATACATATATCCCCCACCTTTATTTGCAAAACCTTAGGGGGAACATCGATTAGTTTTTTGAGTTGTGATTTTTTGATAGGTTTTTTTCATTATTATAAAAACCCTCGGATTTCAGTTTGAATTCTAATATTGGTTGTTATACAAATATGTTCAATGTTGGACATTTTTTAGCATTCTCATTCAAAAGTGTTTTTTGGTAATTTTGTGTATCCGATTTTTTCTTCGCTGTTGCCGACTGTGTGCTTATACACATTTTACTTTCGCTTAGACACAATTTCTACGTAAGTATATGGTATAGTTCTAAAATTATACTGAATCAAGCAATGCTTCAATGCTTGACATTATGCGCATACATTTGTTTATCTCACTACATATTTTAGAATCTAATCTAAAATTTACATTATCATTCTACCCGGAAAATGTCAATGAGCAAACTTTGCGAATCGACCATCTATCATAGTAATCGATATTGATCGGTAATTTACTTTTGTTATGAGTGAATGCTTGAAAATAGGCGTTAGTCGGCACCAACTTCCCATTACTCATAATATCTATGAATCACTTCAAATAAAATACTAATATTAAATATTTATCAATATAAATGGTAATGTGATTTTGTAGACAAGTAGGCAAAAACTAAATTTGTGACACAGAATTCATAAGTTCATACGAATAAGCCGAAGGTTGTGCATGAACTTGCACTCGAATATATGCGGCTATATATACATATGCATATGTAGGTATGTACCTTGAGCACATACACGTCTGCATTTTTATACAGCCACGCATTCGTACATAAGCGTCCCAAATAAAAACAACTTACATTACCTACATTTATTTTCTTTTACGTACATTTTTGTTATGGCCGATTTCGTAGTACGTGAAGAAAAATGAATGGACAGAAAAGCTTGGTGCGACTTCGTAACAAAAGCATTAAAATTACAACAGCAAATAAAGCAGTCGTGTTTCTGTATGTCTACCTGTCTGTGAAAAATTGCTTAACTTCGCAAATATTAACCTAACAAACTTATTTTCTCAATTTTCGTAGAGGCTTTTGGTGGTTTTGATGCTTTTACAGGCGACTTTTTAAACTTAATTACTGTCAATGTGTACAAATTTTGTTTAATGGAGAAATAGCATATTTTGTCGTTTGTTAAATATATGTTATGCTATACTAAATATGATAGTTAACACTTGGACTGCAAAGAATTTTAATTTAATTAAAATACCGTAGAATAATGTTTATTACTACCAAATTGTTAAGGAGATACCTGTTTAAGAAAAGATAAGGATTGTTAAGTAAGAAACCAATGCATTGATATTAACTATTTTCCGTTTACCAACCAACTATTTAAGACAACAAGCTAATTCTCGGTTTCTGTCACTAATAAAGTATTTTATTACAAACGTCTATTATAATCGCGAATGTAGTACAAGTTCCTGTTGTGTTCCAGAATCAAAAAAGATTTGGGAATCAGGTGATAATCGGCCGATCGAAAAATTCATTTTGTTGTTGCTGTAGCGGCAGAAAACATTCCTGAAGTAATTTGGAGGAATGATGCCAGATTGACTGTCCTTGTGGGAAATTTTAAATTAAATTAGAAATTGAGGCTCTTCCGACAATTTTATGCCATTTATGGTTTAAGCTAATATTCGATGACCGGATGCAACATTTCGGCTATAGTACGTTGAATGTTGTCTTCGAGCTTCTCGAGCGTTGCTGGTTGATTAGCGTAAACCTTTAATTTAACATACCCAAAGATAAAATAATCAATCCATGCGTTAAATCGGATGATCTTGGCGGCCACTTATCGAAATTAACGAGTTGACAAACTTTGTACGCAATGTGCCCATGTTGTGAAACATGAGGCGAAGCACCGTCAAATTCCGGGGGAAAAAATCGGTCAACATCGTGTTTTAACGTTGGCTGTTGATAGTAACAACATTTCCTGCCTTATTTCGAAAGAAATAGGTTCCGATGAAGCCGCCATACCAAACGGTAAATTTTTTGGGGATAAAATTGCGTTTCCTGAACCAAACGAGGAAGCCATTAAGTCAGAAATGGGCCTCATCAGACACGACCGTATTTTGCACGAAGAGCTCTTACAGTAGCCACCGGAGAACATGAATTTGAGTAATAATCTTGCACAATTTCCAAGCATTGTACCAATGTGAATGTGATGAAATGGCAAACTTTACTGAGCACACTAACAAATTTTGACACAAATCCGTAAGCAAACACGGCCGCCATGAGCTGTCAAAACCACGTCATCCTTATTGGTAGACGCTTTATATATATTTGATATACATTTATACTTATTTATATGTATACATATTTATATTTTTTTATTTGAGAAAACATATTTTTCTATTACAATAATTAATTTCCCAACGCACCGTCGTCATTTGTAACCTACAAAAAAGTACCTGTGCGATTGTACATACCATATATACAAATATACATGTATGTGAGGAATGAATATTTTTAGATATGCATATGCATTAAATTTTCTTTATCAAAGAAACATTGCCGCAGATAAAAAATATGTTCCCTTAATTTCGACTGACTCTTCGATGAGCTTCAGTTCTCTTAAGCTTTCATTTTCGTACGACCATTTGTAGCCAATTCGAGCAAGACTACCGGCCCAGCCCATAAAACCAGTAAAGGTGAGCAAAGTGTTGGACGTGAATGGAAAGAGTAAAAAGAGAGTGAATTCTCACTATATAGACTTGCCCATTTGGACACACTCGGAAACTCATTACGTTGACCACTGACAGTTGACGTATTCGGGATATGTGTCAAACCTCTCTTCCACTTTTAATGGTTCTCCCTAAACATTCAAGTAGATTCTTCATTTGTTGTTGCTTTTTAGCACGTTATACTAAAAATCAGGCGATTTTCATGTGGTATTCTATATCCGCAGTGCGCATGACTGACATTTGCTCAAAGATAACAGCGTGAAAAAAGCCGGGAAGCTACATACCGGCATTAATTAGATAAGATGGTGTGATGGCATTCTGTAAAATTTGCTTATAGTATGCAAGCATGTGTAGCCCACTTTTCGCTGGGATAGTAAACACATCTACGTAACTCCGTAATCAGTTTAGTTATGTGCGACTATCGTGCTGTAGCACTAATTGGCACAAATACAACCAGACGAACATGATCACTGAAGCCGAGATGAAGTTGCGCGTTCAACAGCTTCTTCGATTTCTGCGAGTCTAAACATTTTTCTTTCCTCAAGAAACTCGTTGGGGCTGTTGTGTAACTTCAATTCAGTTCCTATACTTATACATATGTATGTATATAGATACCCAATTTCGGACACAAAAGCTTCCTATTCAATTAAAAAATCCTCTAAACATTCTGTTTAAATGTCGGTAGTTACAAGCAACTTCGTTTGCGACGATGTCTACGAAGACATTTAGCGACTCGTCGAGTGAGCATTTCATCCGCAACCGGCGGGGAAAGGGATTATATTTTTGAATGTTCTGATTGGTTGAAAATATGGCGTGGTTATTTCTTATGCTCTGTGTGCAGGTTGCAAGGTAACTGTGAAAATGGTTCGCTTAGGCAAGAGCGGGAAGTGTGGGAGTAAGATTTCGGTCGCATATTGAGAATGACGTGTTTAAGTTTGTTTTATTAGTGAATTGCTTTTCATTTGGGAGAGGGCGCGTTGGAGGCATCTGAACACGTAACTCAAATTTGCTAGCATTGAAATGCAAAAGCCGGTAAGGAATTGGAAAACAAAAAGGGAGTAAAGATGAACTTATTTTTGTGTGTGTGCGAATACGAAATTTCAGTGTAAAGGCCACGTGCAACTATTTCAAATTTTAATTATAGAGGATTACTTATTATACTCTTGCAACATGTTGCTATAGAGTTTTATCAATTTTCCGTCTGTCCATCCGTCAGGACGAGTGCGTAGAGGATCATAATCGGACCACTGCCATGTCGAAAATGTATAAAGCGCCATAACTAAGACGTAAATTAAGATACAGAACTCAAATTTGGCACAACAAATTAAACTAAAGAATGGCACCTGTAGCTTGAAAATCTTGAAAAAGTGGGCGTGGCCCCGACCTCTAATAAAATTAATGTATATATGCATGAAATCGGATGATAACCCCGCCCACTCCCTATACAAAGGTTTCGTTAAAAACTACTAAAATTGCGATAAATCAAATTAAATGCGTCAGAGATATTTTAGAGAGAGGGCTTTATAGCAGCCGGTGTCAAAATTGGACGATGGGCGTGGCCCCGCCCACTTTAAGGTGAAATCACATACCTCGGGACTTGCTCGACCGAATTCAACCAAATTAGGTACATTCTGATATTCCTATGTTACAATGCGAAAGTGGGCAATATCAGACTACAACCACGTCAACTTCCCATATAACATAAATTTGAATAATGAAAAACGGGTTGAATCGGATCAATACTTCTCTATACCTAATATAAAGTATTTTGAACTTCCGGGTGACTTTATACTGCTAATATCTGCTAATATGTGAGTTATTTCAATGAAAATGAGAGACCGTGTTTTATTCATGTATCTTTGTGCCTAAAATGGATAAAATTGGGCTAAAACTTGACCCCCTATAACTAATATCAGGATATTTGTGCATCCGGCTGCCTGTCTTAACTCCATACTATTGGTGATGGTATGTGAAGTACCCTAATGAAACCCAGGGAGCATTTTATTAGTCTATGGCATGTTAGTGGTATGAGGTATTCGAAAAAATTTATTTAATCGGGTCATTACTACCGCCAACTCCCATATACTGCTTATAATAATTTTCGCCCCTTATTTAGCCCCTTTCGGTCGAGTTAATATCACAAACATATATTTCATTTAAAGGTGTTTTTAATATAAGTTTAGCTGATGCGAACTTAAATGTAGCAATAACATTAAGTCTAAATTTATAGCCTTTACCATAAGTCAAGAAGAAACCAAATATGATTGTAATTTATTCACGATTTCTTCGAATAATGGTTGTTTAATTCTTTCGCAACTTTCTACCTAAGCCTACACCTGAAGGAATTTTCCGGACTATAATTCTTGCAAGTTGCAAGAGTATAAAATGTTCGGTTATACCCGAACATAGCCTTTCCTTACTTGTATTATTTCGTTTATAAAGCGCAATTGCGCTGCTTTAAATCCACCGTTACTCTGCTTTCCGCTGTTCATTTGTAACGTGTACTAAAGTAACTTATATGTGTGTGGGAGTGTGAGCTGATCAATGCCATTTATGCTGCCGAGTTATTTTAGTTTTCTTATTTTTGGTTAATATAATATTTATACAACTTGACTTAATTTCTTTTAGAAAAAATATTTATCTATGCAGAATTCATGTATGTATATTTACCTATGGATGATGTAAAATACTTCTTTTATTTTCAGCTTACGCATCGTTATCTTCGTAAATATATCAGTTTTAAGGATATGATTTGATATTCGCGTAAAAATAATTTTTGCATGATATTTTTGAGGTTAGAGCTTCAATAGATTTCGATTAGCAGACAAATTAATTTGAGTCCCATTGTAAGTGCAAGCACATAAAATTGCACTCTATTTGAATTGTAGTGCAAAACTGCCTAAATGACAGTAATTCATTCAATTAAGGGTATTACTGCCTAACATTTCCCCTCCACAACCCCCACTGTTGTATTCCATGTCACCGGCTTGGATAGTTCTAGAAATAAATCACCGGCTCTTTCAATGATGAATGTTTTTATAAAACTTAGTATGCAGACGTCATTCTAGATACTAGCTAGTATCTTAATTTACGTCCATTATAAATAAAAATGTGTGCATATACATGAGTATGCATGTATGTATGGTATGTGAGACGAGCGAGCTGGCTTAGTAATCAATTTTCATAACAAGCGATTTAGCTGGAATAATGAAAACATACATAACATACACACACATGCAATTATGCATTAGTCCTTGAAGTGAAACTCATCAGTATCCAACTGCATAACGCATTCTCAAGAATAGGTGATACACGCTTGCATCAGCTGATGGAAAATAACTTTCCAAAGTTTTCCAGAAGTACCTATGAATGTACATGTGTATGAGAGTTTGTAAATATTGATTAGTGCGTTGAAAAGTTTCCGCAATAGCAGATAAGGAATTGAAGCTTTCTGAATATGAGTCGATTCGTATGACAAAACCGGTAGCTGAAATTAAATTTTTTTTCAACTAATCTGTTGGGGCTACTCGTATTGCATTATGAATAGTCAAGTTTCTAGTAGTAATAAACTTGAGTTTTTATTGCAAGCGCACAATAATTAAGTTTCTAAATATAAACGGGTATGAGAGAACAATTAGTTGGAATTGTTGTAAGCGATCTTGTGAACTACGGCAGCTGGTAAGTACACTTGAACTTAATAAAGGTATTTGCCACATGTCTCTAAATAATACATATTTACCTATATATGAATGTATACATGTAGGTAAATGCCTAACCTGAATTTTTTATGTTAGTCTAACGCCAATTACTCGCTAATACTTACTAATTACGAGGCTGGCATCTAAAAGTACCGAAAATTTTAAAATGTTTGAAAGTGGAAACAATATTATATTATAAAAACAAGAAAAAACGTTAAATTTGGTTGCATCGAAGCTAGAATGTTCCTTATAAGAACAGCTATTGTACATATATTTATGACAATAGTGGTCCGAGTGATAAGTTTCGTGAAGATATCTCGTCAAATAGACAAGTTTTCTATACAAGAACTTAATTTTGATCGTTCAGTTTTATTGCAGCTTTATGCTATTGTGTTCCGATATCGGCCGTTCTGATAAATAAGTAACTAATTAGGATTTAAAAGACGTGGGCGAAATTTTAGAGTGATATCTCAAAAATTGATCGACTAGTTCGCGTTTATACCTACCGACGCACGGACGGACGAACATGGCTAAATCGACTCGGCTAGACACGTTGATATATAATATATGTATATATATATACATATAAATATATATAGCTATGTTATATATTTCAAACTTAATACACCCTGTTCAGCGTATAAAAATATATTCAATGAAGAATGTGCAGTTTAGATTTTTGGCAATTTTAAGGCAACTCAGTCGTTTTTTTTTCAACACACTTAGAATCAATTTCATTTACCTAAGTGAGATTCTTAGCATACACTTTAGTTCTTTCTTTTGAGCGCTCTCTTGTATGTTAGCCATATTTATAATAGTACAGACGTTTTGACCCGTATATTTCTTTGTTTTCACTTGACAACAACGTTTTTGCAACAACATATTATACTTATATTTGTAATATTATTATATTTGTATTAGAGGGCATTCCTGCTCGCTCCCCACTAGCTAAATGCCAAGTTGATGCTCACTTTTGCTTGTAAGGACCGTTTTATTTTCTCGATTAGTAGTTTATTTTTATTTTAGCGCTAAAAAATGCACTTTTGTCAATACAATACACACCAGCACATGCTCATACCTATCATATATCCATGTACGAGTATAGGTGTACATGTGAGGGGTACAAAATATAGCACAGATGGCCCGATTATCACCTTGCTCTTCTTTAGGTAGCTGCTAAGTGACATATACATATACGCTTTGTTTGTGCAACAAAAGACATACCGCAACAGACTTGGGTACAAAGCGGTACAAACTCTGTACATATAAACATTCAGGTACAATTGCATATATGTAGTATGTGTCTGTAAATATAAGTACATGTGTAAAACTGCATTTTATGGCGAAATAGCTGAAGTAAGTGGCGTCAGTTATTTTTAACAAGAGATTTGACATATGTATGTATGTATGTGTAGAACTATACATTTATACATATGTACATATACTACAATATATGAACATTGGCAATGATATGGTGGTCAGCTTTGAAACTTCATATAGAAAGGAATGTATACACTCATAGTGTTATATATTATTCTTTAAACGATCCAAGCAAGCGGTATACTTGCCAAGGACCATTTAATTGTTGGACTGAAAGTTTAAAATAATGATTTAAGGGTAACCCCCTGTAGAAAAAATTACAATTATAAATATTTTATTTTTGCATTTTTTGTTTTTAATTATTTTATTTCATAAAAGTAAAAACATAGCATCATTAAATAAAGTGATTGACTTGACAGAAACTTGAAAAAAAACCATTTTAAAAGATTCATTTCAAATTAATCGGACAGAAAAAACTAGTTTTATTAATAAATAATCTAATGCCTGATCAAAGTTTTTTTTTTAGATTAACAAAATGGTCGCCTCAGGAAAACGTTTTCGAGATTTTCAGGAAAAATCCAACAGTTAGCTGTTTGTGAAAAGAGTGTAGAGAGTTCAAAAACAAAGTTCTGAGAAAAATATATTTGAAGTTTTACACGAACATGCCAGAGCGTGAGATATCCCTTTGCTAATTAGTGAATAACTCGAAAAATATTTATCGGATTTACCTTAAAATTTCAGAAAATTTTTCCTAAGACGTTATACTTTATGGAAATCCGGAAACAGTAATTTTCTTTAAATGCAGACTACCACTTAAATCGGTTAAAAATGTAGTTTACTATACAAATATTTAGAAATGCAAATTTAATCATCTTCTGCTTACTCACATAGCAGATCAATAAATCACTCATAATCCATTATTTTAATTAATTGTAATACAAATTAAATTAATAAAAATAAATAAAAATTGACAAAAAAGCCACCACAAATATTAGGCATACATACATATTTATTTGAACATATAAAAACATTCCAAGAATAGTTTAATGAATTAGTTTAATCGAACTCTTCGCATAGAATTGCTTTTACTTGTAAGCGTGTGTATGTTTGTGTGAATCTACTAGACTTGTCAACAGAAATAAACTTGATTATTTATAGTTTTAGTTATTCAAAAGAAAACTACAAGTACTTAATATCGCCGCCAGACAATCGTTTTCCGTTTAGTCAGTATCTTAGATTAGATAAGAGATAGTAAGCGCCCATAAATGGCCTAATAAAGCAGTGTGAAGACATCAATGCTCCACCCTAAAGATTACTTATACTGGACTAAGTACACAGCTAATGTTTATTCACTGTTCTTGTCGGTATCCCCGACGTTCAAATTCCACTAGTCACATTGCTCTGTAAATAACACGCACACTTATCCCTACAAACAATTTCAACATAAACAATTTATACAAATATACATACATACATAAATTAATGAACGCTTTAATGCTGTATGAGTGATTAGAGATACCTTAACACTCACGCATTTTCCCCGGTCTTAAATCAAGAGTCATATGTGTACATTTATGTGTAGATAACACACATGCTTCTTGAGCTGGCTGGCCCGCTAGCGTGCTGATGTCTGGAGTTGCACGAGCATGCCGCGTGATTACGGACAACTCCGTATCTTAAATTATAGCCAAACATGCTGAGAACTCTCCTTCATTTTAGCCCCTTGGCTTTCTATTGAACACAACAACAACAATTACAAAAAAAGAAGAAGTAAATTTATACTCTTAAAATTAAGGGAGCGATAAAAGGGTAAGAAGAAGAAGAGCGTTGCCCAAATTATGTCTTCTGTGCGCGTTTTTAGAAATTTGAATGCTTCAGGTTTTTAGTTTTTAGTGACTGTAGAACGTATCAGCTGATACGACCTATCTTATGAGAGTGCAATGTAAATGAACACTTACTACCGCTTCTACCGTTCGTACCGTGGGTTATCGGTGAAAAGTGGATTTTTCCCGGAGAAACGAGTCAGTTGGTTGCTCTCTTATAATGTAGGGTTGCCGGTCTCGATATTTTGTAGTAAATAAAAAATTAATTTGAGTATATTTAGAATATTCTTAAACTAACTCAAAATCACAATCGAAAAATATTACTTATAAATAGGTAGATTACATTATTAAAAATTTTAACTTAAAGCCATGTATACATACATATTGAGCAATGACAACATTGTTCAAATGAAAACAAAAGATAAGCTCTGATTTTTACGGAAGCATAAAGCAGTTCTACAGGGACGACAAGGTTGGGAGCACATTGTACGAGTATGTATGTTTTATGTATTTTACACCAGAGCGCTGTACTTAAGTTGCTTTGGATGTCACGGAGTGGACGCGTAGTCATAGCGTGCCTACGATTAGTGACAGAAATAGACACTCAACAGCTGATTGGCCAATTGAAGGCTTTTCTAGCTGTTAGCTGGTCGCGCACTGGCGGCTTGGTGATGGCTTCCTTGGCCGATTTCATGAATTTCTGTAAAACGCTCAATCCATGGCGGCATATCGTGTTGACGCTCACGTATCACTTGCTTCACTGCTCGGAAGATGTCCTAACAAAAGTTAAAAAAACTGCTCAGACAGCCTTTACAGACATATGTACGTACATATGTTTATCGTTAAAAGTGATCAACTCTGCGATAAGTGGCACACTGGTGGCACACGTCTACCGAGTGGCGCTTTGCTCTATTTTTGTATTCCGCACTGTTATTAAATTTTTGGCAGTTATTATTTCCGGAAAAATAGTAAAATATTTTAATATATTGTATATAAATTCCTCGTTGAGACAATTTATCAAAACATTTCCTCTTCTATGAATAGATGCCCCTTATGTCAGATATGTTAATTCACATTTATACCCTAAACAGGGTATGTTAAGTGATCTGCATGACGAGTTGAGTCGATTTAGCCATGTTTGTCTGTCTGTCTGTCTATACGCAAACTAGTCGGGGTTTGAGATATCAGTATTTTTGCACCTGTCCTTTTCTCTTCAAGAAACTGCGCATTTGTCGGAACTTATCAATATATTACATAGCTGCCACATAAGCTGAACGTTGAAAATCATGTCCCTGTAGGGAAAATTTTTTATTTGACAAGATATTTTCAAGAAATATGGCATGAATTATTGTCCCAGGCAATAGTGCAATCTGCGAAAAAGAATTTCAGATAGCAGTTAGCTGCTTTACATATTGCTCAGAATCAAGTTTTTGTATGGAATCTTATGTTTTTGTGAAGGGTATTTCGGTGCAACCGAAGTCAACATTTTTTCTTGTTTTTATATATTAATTTTTTATTTATTTTTTTTATCTCAATATATTTATCAAAATATACGTATTTCTACTTCAAATCTTTTCATCCATCGAACTCCAAATTCAACCTCTCATACTAAAACACAACGAGTTAGCGTTTATCTGATATTTGTGCGCTTTATTTTGATTTGCAAATTTAATGAGCACAAGGAAACCATAAAAAGTTACGCATAAAGCTCAGCACTGGCTCACTATCAAATTAACGACCAACCAAGGCGAACTTTGCTGCGGCCAACAAAAACTAATGCAAATTAATAGACCAATATAAAACAATAAATAGGAGTGATTGCACTTGTACAGCTGTCAATGGTTCTGATTCAAGTGTATGCACATACAAATATTTGCATAAAATAGTATACTTAGACATACCTACATATTTATGATATGGAAGCCATATACTTTATATTTAAATTTATATATAGATATCGAAATTAGAAAAATATTTACGAACATGAATTAGCCGAAGCGTAATTAACGCGAAAATTTTCAAATTAATTCACAGAATTATGCGCAGTGTTTGATTTTTCATTCATCACTCAAAATTTGTTGTAAAATGTTAACCAATCTCTGATATTGGCTTAACAAATCAGCGAAAATTATTCTCCTACTAGCTACTTACTTTATGGCCCCTGAAATCTAACGTCTTAACTATGCTCGTCGCTATGGCTCCATGCTTTGTACTAACGATGGCTACTTGGCCCTCAGTGCACTTCGGGGTGTAGAAGCAACATGGCACACTTACTGAATAGTAAATTCTCAGGTGAATCGGTCAATTTTTTTGTCCCAGCACAACTCGCACAAGTTGGACAGGTTCATTAGTATGCCGAGTGTGTCGTTGGTAGGCACCATAAAGCGTTCGGCTGTGTAGGTGCGCGTGCAATTTTCACACTTATCTGCAGCCGCAAATCCGCGGCCAGCACTTGGCTCCCCGTGATATTCAGGGGCGCGTCAGCCGTCACCCACATGCAGGCCCACCACTGCGCTTACCAGCACGTCTGGATGTGTGTGTATGTGTGAACTCATCAGCACATCGCCACAACCGGGAAATTTCTATGAGCTCGTATAGCGCAAAAACAACTGAGCTTCAGAAAAAAAACAAAAGGCAACACGTGTATGGCTGTGGGATTGAAAGCTAAAATATTCATTTATATATTATATATATATATTATATATATATATATATGTATGTGTATATGTAGAATATGTAGTTGCTCATATGCCTAAATTAATACGAAAGGAAGCGACGATGTCGAGTTATGGATTAATTATGATTTGAAGATATATACATATATATATATATGTGTATGTATGTATGACGGCAATGTAAGACATGCCGTCCGATTTAGCAACGCACGCGTTCTGTGTCTTCCTCTCCACGAACACGGCCGCTTTGGATTCGCGGCAATTGAAAGCATTTGTCCAAAACTAGAACTGTCGCACTCAAATTGAAGCATCCGAGGCTAAATATTTTTAATAAAAAACATACGTTTGTGTGCGCATACATTAGCTGGACGCTACAGAACAACAATGACGCAACTGGTTGTTGCCTTGTTGTATCTGTTGTTGGCGACAAGCCTGACGGCTAGTTTCTACACTCGCCAGCAAATAAACAGCAATCATATTTCAATGCTATGCGCCACTTTTTTCAATAGTCAGCCAATAGCGAACGAGCTGCTCTACTGTTTTTGTTGTGCATATTGAAAAACAAAGTACTGTTGCTCTTAAAATTAGAATAAAAGAAAAGGCTGGTTGAATTAAAAAAAGTTCTTAAAGTTGCCAACTCACAACTTATTAAGTTACTTTTTGTTGACAACTGATGCATTGAATTGAAAAACAATTAATTTGGTCGTGATCAACCTCACAGGCGATTTCTAATAGCTTCTTTAATATTTTGTCATGCTGACTTCGACATATTTTAAAAATTTGATTTGAATTCCACAGCATATGTATTTGCATAGAATACAATTTGGTCACAACAACAATAGAGGTAAAGAAATAGCGTATTAGCCAAGCGGCACAAGGCTTGTTAGTCCACAGCGCGCACGCGCCGTCAAGTAAAGCTAGTTTTTGCATAATATACGTATAGACAAGTTAGCGCTGACTTTTTAAAATTGTTAAACTACACACGTCCATGAGTAAGATTTTGATTTCGGTATCTACCAAGGCGTATTAAACGGAGGGTTGAACATAAGCGTTTCTATAATATATGTACAGTTACACGCTTGCGATAAGACAAAGCACCAAAGACCAAATCAGCAGACTAGCTGTCTACAAGCGGACCTCTAAATTTAGCATTAGCGATGCTGACTCGAATATCACTGCAGTGACGAATAACTTAGCACGCTCGACTTTATGATCCGCTAAATCTATATACTAAAGATTATGGGTTTTATATTCGTTTGTGTGGAAGTGTCTATAAAGTATAAGGTTAACTACTTGTATTTTAGACCTCTTCAAATCTAGATTAATGTTTCATAAACCATTTTTAGTTTCGAAAATAATAACATATTTTTTGTGCACTTGACTAATTTCGCTTTTGTTTTATATTTTCAGAAACTGCCTACGTCGCATTGCCCGTCACGATGAGCCCCAATTCTCCAAGGATAGTATCGTCAATGTTATGGAAAGATTTGTGAAAACCGTTAAAGTTATGGATGACACTATATTGGTGCCATGCTTGCTAATGGATCGACAGGTTCGTACAATTGAATATAAAATGTATTAAAAAACATATTTATATCTGTAACATAAGTTGACATAGGTTAACACAGGTAATTTGAATTATTCTGACCAATTTGTTAGAGACTCGACGTAGTATTATATCTTAGGTAATATCATATAATAGAAAATTTACAGAAAAGACAAAATGTTCATTAAAGATACTGCTTTATTTTTATTATATTGTAATCAAAACAGCTACATTAGCTTAAGTCGACTAAGCCTATTTTAATTTATCAAGCTAGATCCTAGATTCACTTGTTTTGTGACATGATTTTATATTTCAACACACTTTTGTAAATTGACTTAAATATAAACACTATATAGATTCATATGTATATGATTATATTAAAATTTATATCAAGCTCATCCATATGCCTTTTCCGCTCTTACGTTCACAGGTCGGTGATAGCACAGATATTATTCCAGCACCTGGCAAGAATTCTACCGCGAATCAGCACACAATCCAACATTCTGCCGCACATGGCAAACGCAGCGCCGCACACTCCAAGAACGTGCATGAGTTCCTTAGCTCGTCAGAGCTCTTCAATCTCTATAACATGTTGAAGGCGCTCAAGACGGATTTGCTCTGGACAGGAAAGGACGATTCCGAAGAAGAAGAATGTGTCGTGAGTGAAAGGCAAGGTACAGCTGAAGTGGACAATCTGTTGTATTCGCGTTACGATTCCAAAACATCGGATGCGGTGAGTGTGACCAGCAGTACAGAGGCCGTTGGCGCTATCAGCAGAAGCGCTACTACAACAAATATCAACGCCATTGCAGGCGCAACGGCACCGACTGCAACCGCCACCAGCACAGCAAGCGCCAAGGGACATAATCGTTGCCCCTCCACCGCCTCGGTGGCTTCGATTGTTTCCACTACATCGGCATGCAACCTAAGCGATTCGGAAAGTGAAATTTCCAATGAAAATGATTCGGGCATGGAATCGGAAGGCCATAAGAGTGACAATCAACCAAGCAGCACAGAGTCCGTAAGCGGTAGTGATGATACCGAGTCACGCGCCGCTGCAGCCGCCACCTCAACCGCGAACGCTGACAAAGCTACCGAATTAGCGAAACGCTGTCGGCGACATTTGAATGGTCTCTACCATTGCCTTGAACAAATGACAGAAGCGGCTCATTACCTGACTGTAAGATACCAAAGTGATATTGGCCCCGTTTAGAGAAGAAATGCCGTAGAGCTGTTAGCAGACAATGCACAGACTGCAGCGAGCAAGCGACCCCCTAGGGGTTGTGCGCAAACTGAACGAGTGTATTGAGTGGGGTACTGTGTTAGGGGGATAGTCAGTCTCTTTCTTGGGGGGCCGGGGTCTCATTTGTGGGTTTTTATGTAATAATTTAATAATTTCTGTGTCTTTGTACGGTTTTAGGGTTAGGCGATTGGGAAAACAGTACCCTAATTGCGCTTATGCCTAGGCTAACGGTTACCAAATTCAGATTTAGAGGATTGTTGATTTTTAAATTATTTCGTGTATTGGTAATGTAATTTTTATTCGATATTTTTATAAAAAATGCAATAAAAGTTGTAAAGGAGTTCGAGAATATTTGAAAAGTCAACATTAACGCCTTTTGTTCCAAGAACTCTTGATCGTGCACACCATAGGGTTTAAAAACCAACAATCCCTATCGGTAAGCTTTGTTATGTGATTTAAAAGATGGCGTTGGTGTCGTGTGGCTGTTTGAGCATAATGAGTGGGCAATCACAAAATAATACCATAGTTTGTGTATCTAAGTAGGTAGTTTAAAAATATTTAGTTTAAAATACAAAATCATTGAAAATGACTTAACGATATACCACTGAAAACTATATAAATCAAAACAAAAAGCTAAAGTTGTAAAATAATTTTATAGCAACAAAACCCACAGCAGCTGGAAACAACTAAAAGAAAAAATGGTGGAAGAGCGAAAGATAAAAAAGAAATAGAGTCAAAAAAGCACAAGTTCAATAAAAGCGATTGTCGGGCAAGAACCAAAGCTCACTTTTAATTTAATATTGTATTGTACAACAATAAATAACTTCTATTTTCCATATTAATGTGATATAGAATTGTATGCGGTATCGTGTGCGCTGCAAACGCCTGCTCCTCCTTTTGTGGCATCAATTAAGCAAAGACCTTAGCAAAGAAGCCACAAAAATAGAAAAATGATACAATAAGCAAACCGTATACGAAATTCAATTTGTATCTCTAAGATTCAGTACTAATGATTGTACATTGTATGTACACTCTTGGACAAATTTATGTCGTAAAATAATGAGAAGTATAATAAAGAAGCCAAAGTTATTAAGCGAAAGCTAACAGTGTTGTCTTGTTTGCGTGGGGATGGGTGGAGAAGAAGCGGAAACGATAAGCAACATAAGCCATTAGAAACACACTGGAGAAGCTCAAATTGCACAAAAATGTATTCCCAGTATGTACCATATATGTAACCGTTTCAATATTGAAATCATATTTTTTGCAAATTTCCGAAACTTTTAGAAGTTAGAAAACAAGAAAAGTTTGAAAATTAATTTTACTACACAACTTAATTTTTGTGTACTGCAGCTTCGACATTTTCTAGCAAGCAGTTTCAACCATAGGCAGTTTTTTCAAAATATTTCACAACTCTAAATTTTTTGGCCTGTATTAGACAACACTTAAGCCATAATTTTTCAAAATCTGAAACGAATACATAAATTTACATTGCCTATTAAGCTACGGAAATGCTGCATTGACCGCTTTGAGCCACGTTTTGTTGCCACCAGAGGCAACTTCGTTACAATAAAATACAAAGACTGCTGATGTGAAAGCGTGCCGGCTTTCGAAATACACATTCGGTCTGCCAGTGGGGCGGCGTTGCCAACTATTCGCCAAGGGCTGTTTGGTCTGTTGGTTAACAGCACTAACGAAACGAAAGACTTAAGCAACGAACCTGAGCTTGAATAGAACTCGCGAGTTGTATTTGAGTTCATTTGTGTGGCCACCGGTGGATTTGCATAAAAATGTAAAGGCATGCCAAAAGTATGAAAAATTATGGAAATAAAAGCTTTACTTTCCAGCTGAAATTGATACAAATTATTATATTAGACAAACGTAGTTGAGTACACTAAATCATAATCGCAACAAAAGCAACAGCTCAAGGAGTAATTGAAGTAGTTATTAAATTACCAAATATAAAAAAAAATTTGCATTTAGGATGTTTGTTTGCAATGTTAACCAACTAAAAAACATTACATAAAAATATATGTATATATTTTGGTGATTTGTATGAGTTCATCACTCTGTATTTGTGTCTGTATTCACTATATTCACAAGGTTAGAATATGCACAGATTCTGTTTGTCTATTAGGTTTACTATTTTTATTTTGCTTATACTCGTGAATGTATGATTTAGCTATAATTGCACATATGTATTATCTACACACACATGCACATATGTATATGGAGTTATAAATATTAAAACGTTTTGTATATTTAAACAATAGTGTATATAAATTAAATGTTTACTGATAAATGCTGGTGAAACTATGATGTGAGGATGATATGACATAATGTAAATTTAAATTAAAAATAAAAAAAAGATTATATATATTTAAATAAATGAAAATACCTATATACGATTTTCAAATACAGAAAAAATTTTGTTTTTGATTGTCGAGAATGTTTTTCAGGCAGATTCTGTAATTCATTTCTGAGTAATTTCACTTTGAATCCGACATTCGGTGTTCTATTTTTCATTTTCATTATTAAATTTCCACGTTTTTTTTTTTAAGTGAATTCCGAGTGAAAATTAATAATGTTCTAAAAAATTCCCAAGAAATTTCGTTTATTATTCACTTCAAATCATGTGTGAATTTGATGCGCGCAAACATGTAAGTAAAGTTATACAGAAAAAATATTTAAAATAGTATATTTTGATAATAAAAGTAATTGTTATTTATTAAAGGGAAAATAAAAAGAAAAATGGTTAAAACCAGAAACTTTACTATTATGCAATTTTGGAATTTTCAAAGAAATTGTTAAGATCCGATCACTATAACATATAGCTGTCATACAAACTGACCGATCAAAATCACAAAAATCTACCTGTGAAGGGTATTATAGCTTTGGTGGAGTCGAAGTTAACGTTTTTTTTTGTTTATCATTTTTTTGATTCATTTTATTTTTTTAAAAATTTGAAAGCTTTTACATATTAATTTGTATGATAGAATAAAAAAAGAACACAAATTAACAAAATTCTCGTTTTACAGAACAGAACACTAAAACCAAATTCACTCGGATTCCAGAACCTGGTACTGTTGGTCTGTGTGAAAGGAGTTTACTTCATTTTATTTTTCGATACTTGTTTTTGAAAGCCAAATAATGATGAGCAATGTTGGTTTATACAAGCTCAAATTAAAGCTGTATGTATTAGTTTGCTCGCTTTTAAATGCTTCTAGTAGTTTGTGCATAACGCATTGAAAGGGAATTAATGATAGGGGACCATAAACAAGAAGACATCAAAAACAAACTGTAGTAAACGAAAATAATATGCTATTACGTATTTAATATTATATATGTAAAAAATAATTGGCCTGGGCAAATTCGGTGTTTAAATATACTATATTGAGTTTATAACTAGATTCGTATTCAAAATATTGCCCATCTGAAGCTATAGAATTTTCCCATCTTTCTTGCAATGTAGTTTCCATCCCAAAAGAACTGCGCCAGCTTGTCGGCCAAGAATGAATCAAGCCAATTTTTGATACCCTGTTGTGTTGTGGACTATATTTCAGTGGGGGCGTTCTGCATCGACTGGAACAAGCGGTAGTCAGAAGGGGCAAGGTCTGGACGGCAAGGCGGGAGAGTTAAAACTTCCCAGACGCTGTTTTCCAAGTACTTTCTAACCGGTCTTGCAACATGAGGTCGATCATTGTCATGATGGAAAATTGTTGCCCCGTAAATTTCGGACATTTTTTGGCAATCGCTTGCTTCAATTTGATGAGCAGTTGTCGGTAGCGTTCCCCATTAATGGTTTCACACTGTTTCAGAAGCACATAATTCAGGACGTCCTTCAGATCTCACCAAATATATAGCATTACCTTGGCGCCATTGACATTCGGTGATTTGGCTGGTTGGTCATATATGATTTTTTGCAATGAATGATGTTTTTTCTGATAATATTGGATTCGTTTTTTAGTTTTCTGTTTTTTGTTTTGAAAAATTTGAAAACGCTTGAATGTTGGGGTCGGATTTAGCATACCATCCCACGATTTCAGGGTTAAGAAGGGTATGGTTGGATAGAGGATATTCTCCAAATAAGGTATACATATAATTATAGTTTTCGAGATATTTGCACGTTGAAAATTTCACAAAATTTATCATACAATTTCTCGATTTATAGTTAGTTTTTCTTTTATATTATGCACTTATTATACACTAACACTAACAAAACTATAAGTTTCCGGCGGATAAAATTATATATATTCTTTATCTGGAGAACTCTATCTAACCATATCCCTCTTAACCCTGAAATCGTGGGATGGTATACAAAAGTTTAACCGAATGTTGTGGCAAACATTATTTAATCAAACTATTCAGGGTTTACACCAAAGTTTGAAAATCTCAGTTTACACAACAACTTTATTTTTGTGTATTGCAACTTCGATATTTTCTAAAAATCAGTCTACCAAAAGTAGAAGATTTTACATTTTTTCAAAATATTTCCTAGCTCTAAATTTTTGGGCCTGTACGAAGGCTGCTATATATATTTCTGGCCTAATAATGAAAATATAAATATTTATCAACGAAAATGGTTTTTTTTTTTCGGTCGATTGCTGTTTTGTTTCGGGCTCAGACGCATAGATCCATGATTCGTCACCAGTGACGATCTTATAAACGTCTTTTGAAGCACCGCGATCGTATTTTTTCAGCATTTCTTTACATCAATCCACACGAGCCTTTTTTTGAGCGATTGTCAAATTGTGCGGGATCCAACGAGATCCGGCCAGGTGTTCATGCAATATCGAATGTACGCTGCTGGCGGAGTTCGTCTTTGAGCGAGCGTCGGCCACTATTGAATTCGTTGTACCAGTTTTTCACAGTGCTATAGGATGGTGCTTCATAGCCATACAAAGATTTTAGTTCATCGATGCACTCTTGTCGTGATAATCCACGTCGAAAGTTGTCAAAAATGATCGCACGAAAATGTTTACGAGTTAATTCCATTTTTTGGGCGAGATGAATTTTTTAATTCCCTGTAAATAAAACAATTCACGATTAAATGACAAAACGTTCTCAGTGATGTTATGCTAAAAAATGTCAAACTTTCCAATGGAAATGTCCGATTGCACCTGGCAACACTTAGTGTTGCCTAGGCCAGCCAGCTATATAGCAGCCCTCGTATTAGACGACACTTAAGCCATAATTTTTTAGAAAATGAAAAGAATACATAAATTTACATTGGCTTATTAAGCTACGGAAATGCTGCATCGGCCGTCTTTTAAAAACATTAAAGATTTATTCAAAAATTAAATCAAGCTATTTAAGCCATATTTGGAAAAATTCTGGCCCACTTCATTATTTCTTGGCATATAGTTTTTACTTTATCCGGAAATTCGGTTTTGATCTCTTATAGTCAATCTTAACCAAAAATTATTACACTACATTGCATTAAGAGGAACGCGTGAACGATGTTCATATTTTTAAAGTGAAACCTTTTATCTATCGCTTCAAATTTTTTAGTACATCTGTCGCATGTTGCATTACAATTCTATATAACTTACGTACATATTTTTTGTTGGTTATGGGCATGCGTTTATGACTTTTTTTCTGAAAGTTGGTCGAAATGAATAATTAGATGAATTCAATTTGGTATGTGTGAATGGATTACTTTCGAAATTGGTATCATATTAACTTATCCTGAAGACCATAGACTCAGTTTTATTACTATAATTAACTTCCCGTCAGCGAAAATTATGCTAAGATCATTCTCAAATGAGATAAACAAGTATGTGACATAAACTCAACCGAAGAGGCTAAAATTAAAATATTGAGTTGATGTGAAAAACTTCAACCAAAGAATCGAGATTCATTATATTAGGGGTATGAGGTTTGAACCAAGACAAATTTCATTTATATTGAGTGCAAAACTATTAATATAATTTTATAGCTCTTAGGAAAACATGTCCAATTAATTTTATTAAAAAATCACACATTTTGTCCAACCTAAACGATTTAAAGTCAGGTGGAAAGTTGGAAATTATTATATAGGATATATTGCGGACAGAAAAATGGAAGAGCTGATTACATACATTTTCGAAATTGCTGAGTTTTACTTG